TCCGAATCAAGCATACGAATCAAACATATGCCAATCAAGATTGCTTTTCGAATTTGAAATTTCATGGGATTTTCGATTGATCATCGCCATCGACATTTCAAGTGGATAAATTCCACTTCAATAATTAACTTATCATCTAACAATAATAATAATGAGTCATTTTAATTGTGTTATTTCCTAATGTTGAATGACCTGGTTTAATATTGTGTTTAAAATTTAGGTTATTGTTTTGTTTAAGAGAGATGAGAAATTATAATTACTTAAAATTTTGATTTTTTAATTTTTTTTGAAGATTTTCATGTTTTATTAACAATAAATTTAGGAAATTTACTAAAACCCTTTTCAAATTAAGTTTTGGATTAAATGAACTTAATTATTCTTTATTTTAGAGTTTAATTTTGTTTTATTTCTGTTATTGCATCGAAAAAACCTGAAAAAGCTACCTAACTAATAAAAATTGTGTTTAAATGTATGTTTGTGACGTTGCTACACAAAAACCACTGAAACAATTTTGATAAATTTTAGTATAGACATACTTTGGACCTAGGAGAATAACATAGACTACTTTTTGTTGCCAAAATAAAGATAAAATCTACTAACAAATCATTTTGAACTTTTTTCTTGAAAAAAAAAAAAACTTTAAAAAATTTGAAAATTTGTTTCTTTCTGTAATTTTTAGATATACGTACATCTTGTTTTCAGATTAATGAGATTAATCAAGGTCTGTTATATCCACGTGTAAATAATAATTAGAAACAATTACAAACGATTGTTTAACACGAAAAAATCGTCTGAAGGGGAATAAATGTTACATAAATAGCCATCGTGATTGGATAACAATTACCAATTTATATTTGTCTGTGCTTGCATTTACGTAATTACATAATACACTCTCAAACACACACACACACACACACTATGCATGCATAAAAACAGATTGATAGACAATGCCAATTAAAATATTAATTAAACATTAACCAGTAGTGTGTTACTATCACTATCATATTAAACAATTATTTTTATGTATTTCTTTTACATATTAAATTAAACCAATGATACTTGCACTCGTATGTCGATTAAAGTTGTTTCAACCAATTTAATTTAATTAATGATTGAATTAACGATTTTAATGAATTAATTCAGTACTTGTTTTACTATCAATTGTTATAATGGCATTATGGCATGACCAATAGTTATATAATTTTATTGGCGGTAATTATTAATGGTGACAATGAATATTTTTTTTATTATTCATAAAACGGGAAGGATTTGAGTTGTGAACGCACTAAAAAATTTTTTTTAAATATTTTGAAAGCTTTTACTTCAAATTAAAGTTAGAGTTAAATAGAGAAGCAGTTATTCGATAAGAACATACGCACAATGTAGTCTAGACTAACCAGGAAATGAAATAATTTTAAATAATTTAATTATTTTGGTAATAATTTTAAAAAATTATCTAAAACGTAACAGAAAAATTAGTTGAAGTGTTAAATTGTATAAATATTTGTATATCCATCAAATATATTAAAAATATTCAACGAAGTTATTGTCTATTAATCTTCAATTGATGATTGAGTTATAATAAATATCTTTAATTTAAATATTTTAATTTTTTTTTAATTTAATGCTTTTATTTTCTTTCTAAATGAATATATGTAATTCTCGTGTTGGCAATGACATTTTTACAACCATAAAAACCTATCCAATATTAGGTATTATATAGTTAAACAATACCGAACAAAACGAGCTATGATGTGCTATTTATATCAGCGCGCATATCGGAGTAATTGCTTTTTTCAGTGCCTTCGATATAATTGATCGTAAAACGATAATTGCACATGATTGCATACACAAAACTCAATAATAAAAAAGAATATTTATATATAATAGTATAAATATGTGCTAGGAAAATAGAACTAGGAGTAATGTTCAATATTTAATCAATATGTGAATGGTGAGTGACTACATATTCGGCAATTATAAGTAAAGTGACATACGGTTTGTATGATCCTTGTAATATTTTAGTTTTTCATTGATTATCAAAAAACTATTTAAGATAAATTAATGAATTTTTTCATAAATAGCTTACTAATTAAATTCTACTTCTAATTATACATTGATAAAAGTGATAAATTCATTGGAGATAAAGTTATTAGCAATTTAAGTAGAAAAACTTTTAGAAATGATAATAATTTTGAGTTTTCTGCTCTGATCAAATTTCTTTTTGATAAAATAATCAATTTTGCACTTTTATTTAAATAAACAAATAGATCTATGTTTTATATACCAATACTAGACTTAACACAATGACTTAAATATTTTATTTTAATTTTTTTATATTTTAACAGTTTTTGTCATTCATATATCGCATAAGGACATGATGACAATAAAAATATTTGTGCATTCATTCATTCATTTGAAATCATGTGCCCGGAATAAATAATTACATTTTAAACGTAAATTAATCGGTCATCACCTGGTCGCGTGCTCAATACACTCAACCAAACTCACCAATCAACAACTCACTGTAAAAGTGTTTGAACTTGCTAAGTACGCGTTACTTGAATGGACTTAACTTAAGTACTTTTCACTTCCTTCATTCTTTCACTTCCTCGTGACAGTAGTACACCCAACTTACCTAACAATCACTATGAATGAACTTTAATTTTGACCATTGTTCATTCATCATAGGCACAACTCATAAATAATCGTTTAATCGGTTTTTAATGGTGGACTTTTAACTTTTTAACTTTTTCCTCTTTTATTCACATTTTATTTGAATAACTGTAATGAAAGGTTATTTATTTAACCAAGAACAAATGTCGCCATTAAACCTTATAGTAACTCCCCTACTTTTTTATTTAAATTTTAGAAATATTTTTATTGCGCGTATTATCAAGGTAACAAAACACCAAACACAAAAACAAGCAAAAAATAATGCGAATTTATCTACGCACTATACAAAATTAAAATTGCAGTTATTTTTGTAATTCTAAGTCTATCCTTTCATATTTTTCTTAATTCCTGTTTCTGTTGTTTCTCCTCCATTCTCTTCCTGTTTTGTTCAAGTGTTGCAAATATTTACCCACACTCTACAAATTAGTAATTTGCGCAGGTTGTAACTGATACCCAACGGAGTCTCTTTTTTTTTCGTACACATCTAAACATATTTTACGATTAACCTTGAGTGGCGATTGAGGTCGAATGAAGAGAATTCGCCATTCAACATTTCAAATATTAGCGGAGTGCTTATTAAAGTATTAAAATCATTCAAATCAGCAAGCATCTACTTACAAAGTCTAAAGATTAAAATTTAATCAACAACACTGTTATACTCACACTGAGAATATAATAGGTTGATGTATACTCCTCGATTTGTTTATATTAACTAAAGCAAAAGCAACTAAAGCAACTGTTAACATGGAAACAGTTAAAATTAAAACTAAAACAAGAAACACAGCAGGTAATATTTTAGGAGGAAGAAAAAAAAAAGTAGACAAACCGACGACCTGTTTTATATAAATTTACATGAGATTAACATATAGAATTAAAATGATTTGAAAAATTGCTGAATCATTCAAGTCCGAAGACATTAATATTCAAAACCTACCTCAAGATGAAAACAACAGTCGTGGTTTACTAAATTTTTAGTATATTATTATCCAGAGATTATTATTTTACTACCAAATTTAGTTTTTAGTAGTTTTAAACAGATTATAACCTTAAATATCAAGATTACACGTTTCAAACCTCAACTTAACCTCAAATAAACACAAACACAAAACAAAAACTACTTGATATTTAAATATAACCTTAAAGTTGAAGTTCATTTCATTATATCTTCTTACTATTCATTGATTTTTTTCTTTTTGTTGTTAGTTTTTATAGTGTTTTGTTTTGGATGCAATAACAAATGAATAACCTCCGATTAAATCGCCGATTGTTTATGTGTATGTGCAAAGAGTGTAAGTGTGGTAATGCATGCAAAACACACCATATTATTAGCTATCTAGTGAGTATTCTTTTTATTCTTTGTAATTATGAATTTGCTCAAATTCATGATTTGATGATATGTATTGCCTGGTTATATGTCGCAATATAAACTCGAATAAACAAGTGTTTTGTGAATCATTTTATTCTGAAAATAAAACACACAATAATAAAGGCAATAATAGACACTTGTTTTAGGAATGTGTTCTAGAATGTTGAGAAATGTTGGGAAATGTTTATCATATACTTGGAATCAGAAATTTGATCTGAAATTGTTGAATTAGTTGATAAAAAATATGTTTTTGTTAGGTTAAATGATTGTGACATGTGAGGGCGGAGCTAAAATACCAATATGTTAACTAAAACACTAAAAAATTTGATATTTAGTTATTTTTAACAAAAATTAACTGAAAATTTGTCACAAAAAGCTAATTTTTGTGGAAATTATTTGTTTAGTTGGTAAAAATGAAAAAAATTGCTCATGGTTGTCATATTTCCCTACACCAGATGACGCCCAAATGCGGGAAGTGACGTCAGTGTTAAGTTACTCACTCTGGTAAGTTTTTCAAAATATCTTAGCTACATTTTCGACTTTGTAAGTTGCTTTACATAAAAAAAATCACCAACCTCGCACTAAAACTCAAAATAAACACATATTCTGCATTCCACAACTCAAATATCATCAAAATAAATAAATAATTCCACTAATTTTCAATTACGCATAAACATCTGGATGTTTTGGAACAATGTTCCTATTTTTACCAATATTACAAATTGTTTTTGTATATACTCCAACACAAAAACATCGAGAAACTTTGTATAAGAGAACACCGCACAACACAGTAATACAGAAATAGACACAGTGACTATTTTTAAAATGGCGTCACTTTTTCATAACCCACTGATGTTTCGTGGAAAATCCCAACCTCATCGCAACATATATATTCTTGGCATTGTAACATAATGTATGAGTAAAAATCACATGTTAAATATTTTTAAAACAAAATAAATATTTTGGTACTTCTTTATATTAATAAAACTTCAATATTCCAAGAGGTACAATCAAAGGATAACAAATGCCTAGACATAATAAATTATTTTCAGCGTTCATCTTAAAAAATATACACATCTAATCTATCTACCCACCTTTGCACTCACTTCCACATTCATCCATGCACACATTGCAACATTCACACGTTCCCAACCATCTTACATCCCTAACACTACTAGAAACAACTCAAAAATTTCGAATTTTACAAATTCACGCCGTAATAATAAAAAATTAAACAATTGGAATAGTTTTGTAGTAGCAGCAGGTAGTCCAGATGATAGGTTATGTTCTTCTCCCCCCTCCTCTCCTTCTCCACCTCTCACAATGGTATACAAATTAGACTAAATAGATTCACTGCATGCGCGCGCACAGACTTCAATCACAAGTTCAACATTTTTGTAATTTTTAATTTAATATTCGATGGTGAATGATGCCAACTCATCATCAAATCGGACTGCCGATGTCATGCTGGTAGCGTGTCGTGAGGTACTGCGCGGCGTCTGTCAACTGCTTGAGACTTCTTGTCAAGCCGTGTAGATGGCGCCGGAAATTGTGTGCGACTTGCGCGGTGCGATCGGCAACATCCTGATGGGATTCCTCAATGCCCGAATCGTTCTCAGCGCCATCTGCGCCGATTTCCGAGTCGGAGTCGCTGATGCTCGAGGCGGAGTTTGTCGAAGAGACGCTGACAGTTGACGGACGTCTCACGTGACCCTTTTGATGAGTTTGGCTTTGACCTTGTACTTGAACTTGTTCTTTCACCGGCTGTGGTTTGACTTCAGGTGTGCTTTCCTCTTCGAAGTCAGCGGATTGTGCTTGGCCCCACAAGAGGTTTTCTTTGATATTGTTTAGCATATTGTAGACGTCGAAGAGATCCGCTGAGTTAAGGAGGTTGCCTATGTTTTGTTTGGATTTTCCATTGGCACTTGCGTTTGCACTGACGGCGGTTTGTTTCGCCGATGGGTCTTGATCATCGCCGACTTTCAGATCCATGAGGCGGCAAGGCACCAGGATGGTTTCATCCATCGTGTTCACACTCTTGACGAACTTTTCCATTGCGTTGAGGATGCTTTGATTGGAGAATTCCGTTTCGTCATGACGAGCGATTCTGCGCAAACAATTTCTGGAACGGAAGAATGACAGTTTGTTATTTTCGTGTATACATGGTTGCCTATACATGAAGTGACACACAATGATGACGAGCACGTTTAACACTCATCGTAAAATTAAGTTTTCATCCGGAAAAACCACAAAATCAACTGAGTAAGTTTAACAAATCACTAGATAACAACATTATCTACAATTTGCTATATAATTTCACACGCGCACTAGTCTGAATAAAATTTAATCACAATTTCTAAATTTTAAAACTAATCTAACCTAAAAAAAAATTCTAACTGTACTCCTGCGCTAAACGTGATTTGCAAGTTGCATATATTCTAGAATCAGCTGTAGGACACAACGCGAAGGTCATGGTTAGGTGTGCGCACCGGGGTCGCTATCGATTTCTCATCCAGCGTGCAATTACATATGTATTTCGATATTCAAATATTTAACGTTCGGCTTGTTTAGACTCTTCAATGTGCACACCAATCTGACACACTTATTCGAAGGATTGCATAATAAAGTCCGCGCCTTCATACTACAACCGCGCTATTAATTAGTATCGGACCATTACTTTTGTTATTAGCAATTCTTTTTCTTTAAAAATTCTGCAACGCGTGCAGCTTTCACCTCTAAACTTCACGAAAAAAAACGTTTTATTCCATTCTGATCACATCGACACCGCTCACACCTCAACACCCTGCTGCACTTGTTTCGTGCGTTTTGATTGGCCCACTGAATCTTCCGATCGCCGTGCGACGCGCGCATTACATTTTTTTCTTTTCTCGGCTAAGAATCAAAACTAACCTGTTATTTTCCATGTTTGTGGTGATGTTGATATTATCGCCGTAGGTATTCATCTTGATGGATATTCTGGTAAGTCCCAAATAAAAAACTTCACAAATTGTTTCGAATGTCACTCACGACCTATACACCGGTTGTGGTGTATACTGTGTGTATACCCGACACGCGAACGGTTCGAGAGTGTACAGTGGTACAGTTCGGCTCACCGTCGTTAGCTGAACGCTCGCAGCGCTCTTACAGCGCTTTTATACGACGTGTATACCAGAGTGGGGTGACGGTCGGCTAGGTCGGGTCGCGCCACGCGGAAACACACGAACACGTGCGGGGTGGGTGCCAATGGTAGGTGGGCATGATACATCTAGCGATTCAAAATCGACACTCGAAATGCCTGAAATCACGTTATTTTTCTGGCGTGCGCATTCATTCACCATGCAGGCTGCACGAACTGGCACACTGGCCAATTTGGCAGACGTATCATTCTATATGTGGTAGTATATAATATTCTCTGTGTGCATGTGTCATAAGTTTATTTATAAACATGTTAAATAACATTTCACGTTGTAATTTTAATTAATAAATATTTTATATTTAAAATAACATGGATTACATTACATTCACCAATACTTGGGTATCTTTTGCCGTTGGCGTTGTCGACAGTCACACCATAATTCTTGCGCGCGATTGGTGCAGCGCTGCGTGCTCATTGGTCAGCGGAGGGCTCACCTGATTTTCGCCGGGAAATTCAAACGCGGCGAATCAATACTCTCCGCATGCGCAATAAACACTGCGTGTCACGCACGATACACACTCATGCACGCGGATCACACGCCGCACCCGGCTTCATTTGTCTGAACCTCTTATAACTATAATATTTTCATTTTTGTTTTGTTTGAGAATAAATGTTATGGATTGAGGCAACACTTTGAACTCGCGCGCGCGGAGTCAATGAACAATGGCACGATTATCATTATCATCAATAATAAACTACGTACACCTGGTTCGGTAATTCGTTGTGGATGCATAACTAGTGGATAAGTTGCTTATCATTGTCCAGCGATTGTTTGCGATTGCATAATTAGTGTAGAGTCGCGTGGCGGGGTCACAGAATGGACAGAGTTTTGCCATTTTTAATTTTTAGGTTAGAGGCATTGGCGTAGGTTGCATATAGGTTAAGATTCGAGGTTAAAAATAGTAATAGTTTGTGCTATTTTTGGTTGGTTTGGTTGGTAGCTTATTGTTGCTTGTGTTAGATTTGAATGGATTTCAATTTCGTCGTCATGTTTGGCATTGTTATCCAATGATGATGTGAGAATAAAGAATAAAGGATGAATGTGGTATCGTATGATCGCATCATGCGTAAATTGACCAGACATGTTAATTGCGTTGGTTTTAAGGAACTATTATCAATTATTGACGCAAGTTGAACATTTTGGCAGATTTTTACTTTGTATGGTTAATACAATGTAAGAATAGGTAAAGTTGATATTTGAGTGCATGTGTACTGAGGTACTAAGGTGTTTTCGGTGCGCGTGTACTGATGTGTACTGTTGCTGGTCAAGTTTATTGGATTTTTCTTGTAGTACTCGTAAATATGTTTTATAAGTTATAGGTGATATCAAATGGAATGGTAAAAGTAGGTTAGGAAAACAAACGGATGGTGGTGTTGTTTTTTGTGCTACTTTTTTGTCCTTAAATGTATCGTGTTATACTTGGGTGGGAAATTGGAGAAAGGGTGGTTTTTAATTGTTTTATTAGTGATTAAATAATTATTTATAGGAGTGGTGTTATGTGGGGTATTAACTTGTAAGTGATAGCTTATTGACACGATAGACACGTTTAAAAAGTTTAAACTACACGTGGAGATAATAAAATTTGTAATATTTCAATTCAGGGGTGATTTAGAGGTTGTTTAGGGGTTTTACAATCAGATTGTTAGAGGTAGGTGTTTTTGTGCTCTCTAGTTATTATTTAATTATTTACTTATTATTTAATTTAATTATTATCAATAATGTGCAGAATGACTATCATTGAAAATCAGATTGTCATGGAGAACATAACACGTGTTTATAATTTTTTTTTTATTAAGTAAGTGTGTCTTGGTTGATTATTTTAATATGAAGTAACTGTTCAGGGATAGCGCCCAGATATGTACAATACCAATCAGGACAAACAACTCAATAGTGACGTCATATCCCTATTCCCAATCGACACCTAGGTTGTATTTTCTTTCGAATGACTTTATTTGCCGTAGAATTGATCCGATAAGCATCAAATCATGCTCAATCATTGGCTTAATTTGCTTTCTGTTTATGGATAACTTATAACTTATAGAATGATAACAGGATCACATTTTCCTATTGGCAACTACAACTACTAAACCAAAATTATTATTATGGTTTAGACTCTATTTTCTAAAATTTCAACTTTAATTTAAATTCCAACATATTTTAAAGCACTTGATAACTAGGAACGTGTTACTTAATACATATTTATTGGTAATTCAACTTCAATATGATTATTATTATTATCATTATTATTTTCATTTTATTTTCATTATCAGCAAATAGAGTGATAGTAAACGCAGACGTATATTTAGTGTCAGTATGTACTACCCCATAAACATGAAAGTAAGTAGTAAGTGATAGGTAATAGGTAATAATTTTAAAGTGCACCTAATGAATAGCTTCAATATACCAGAAATATAGACTTACAAAGGGCAAGGACAAAACAGGAGTAAAACATACCCATACAGTCGATATAGATAGATTTTAATACGTCTTTATACATTTTTTTAGCAATCATATTATCGACATAGCTACATACATAAAGAATATAATGTATTATGACAGCTGGCACGTTTGTCATCGGGAAACGTTTATTTAACTATGAAAATAAAGAATGTTTTAGTTGACACTCAAGTATTTACTTTTATGTATTCCACGTGTCAGATGCGTGCAAAAAATAATTAAAGATTCTGTTGTCGTTGTCGGTATCATTGTAATTAGTAAAATAGTAAAATTAAGCAATGGAAATATGTTTCTGGTTTGTTGAAAATAGATATTATGGGGAAATATTATACTAGGAGGTAGTATTAATAGTATGAGATTAGGTATATATTTTAGTATAATATTATGGTAAAGTAGGGGTTAATAATAATTATTTTTTATGTAGTAACGAAAAAAATATAGATATCCATTTTTGGATTTAATAATTATATCGTCAAGTGATGCAATTTTTATCTTTTTGGATCATATTTCGTATAACAAGCAAAATATTGGAATATTTTTTGTTTTTATCAATTTTTGGAAGATAACTTTGTAGTAGAATAAAAATGCAAATACATGTGATTTGGTAAGCACTTAGTATATTCTTTTATAAATAATTCAAAGATTTCAGCTAATCAAGTATTAACACATTTTTATCCAAAATTTTCAACTGAATAATTGTTTATTATTGACAATTTTAACTAATATTGACTAATATAATAGCACAAATAATTTGGCTAAATTACCTCATTACTATATTTTGACGAACTTTGGACTGTCATGTCAATATTTATGCATTTCCCTGAAATACCTTAAATCGTGAAGTGGAAGTAACTGGAAATGTTTGGAAAATAGTTTAATCATTTCGCAAAACTTAAAATTCTTCAAATTGCTTCGCAAAAAGTGTTATTATTTATGGTATAATACAAATAACACAACGCACTTCCTACGTCATTCTCATAACGTAGTGAATAACAACACTGTGTAGTTATTTTGCACGATTTGTTGTCAAATTAATGTGATTGTTTTTGAAACGTTGTTGATGTTGTCATCATAATTTGCTAAACATCTCCTCGTGCAACATCACACCATTTACACGTCATTGACATTGGGAATCAATATTTGTTGACGGAAAAGTTGGCAAAAAATGAAGATTCGGGACAGGGTAACACAAAAAAAGTAAAATTTACTATTGGAAAGTATCTAGTGTATTAGACTGGTCTTATGGAATGGTCAGGGCGGTATTTATTATTTTTCATGAGTGTATAGGGCCAGTTTTATGTTTTTGTAGACAAATTTTTGTTTTTAAGCATTTTTGCACAATTTTTTTCTTATTTTGTTCATTTTTACTCATAACCCATAAAAATTAACGTGTTCAGTTTCTACTAAAACTTTTTTTCTTTAAAATATGATTTTTAAGTTACTGTGGCGCTTTTAAAATGAGTACTCAACTGCTTAAACTAACTACTTGCGCCATCTAGTACCCCCAAAATTAAATATAATTTCATAGTTTTTAATATTTTTGGAAACTTTTGTTCTTTTACAACATTTCTTTGCACAAATTCTAAAAATTACGAAAAAAAAACAATGAAAATAATAAAAGAAACAAGAAAATATTCCATTTGCAACAAATTCAAGCAAAATAATAAATAATTAATACTTTATTAGATATGTACCTAGTTCAATATTAACATTATCAAACAATGCATAATGATGTAGACATTAGACGATAGATTTGCATTTGAACAATAATGCACCGGTCTAATATTTGTTTCCATGCACCGACTACACATGCACATTTATGAGCTATTGACACACGTGTGTCAAAGTTGACAACTCGTTTCATTTTTCGCATATTCGCGCCATCGCAACATAAACATCGCATCGCAAGTTTATTGTTCTTGGTTGTGGTTGTGGTTATGTCCCGGAGAGTTCAAGGTTAGGACTGACGTCTATCAACGTTGACGTTTGCCCATTGTTTAAACTATTCTAATCATATTTTGCATTCAAACGTCAAGTCATTAAGTAAAATATTGAAAAAATGCCAATAATTAAATATTTGATATTCTATACAATGTAATATGTACGTTTATATGCATAAAACAATGTTGTGTTAGTTACAGCTTTTATAACTCAAGAACGGTTGGACAGATTTAGATGATCAATGATTTTTTGGATTCGTCTTGACTCCGAATAAGAGAATAAGTATTAAAATATCAAAAATGGTGATTTAAAGGGTGTTAAATAAGGGATGAAAATTGGTATAGACCTTCGATTAGAATTATAGTAAAATAATTGAATCCTAGATGGCGCTGAAGTGCATTATTAGCATTTCTTATTTCTTTAAAATAAAACTGCGAATTTTATTGATAGAATCGGCACATACAAGGTCTTGAATAAGAAAGTAAAAATATTTAACAATTTTACTAAAAATTATGCGTGCAAAAGTTAGTTTTTGCATGAAAAACAGGTTATAGACAATTCGACGTCTCAATGAATGGAATATTTTAAAAGTAAAGTTGAAAACAATACTAGCTTATAACATTTTTTCAATTTTTTCCAAAAAAAACACGAAAAAAACAAAGAATATTTTTATTAACAATAATGCTAATATCACATTACACCAATATTATTATCGATAATACCAATAATACTATAATAACGACGGATAAGAGGCACGTGATGCAATAATGTTTTACTTTAATATTATTAATTTGCGCAACATTGCAGAGCAATACATCACACCACTCCAATCATCATTTAATAAGTTTATCATTCTATACATTTGCGTGATTTATTGCCAAATTAATGTATTGGGTTGTCTACCTTAAAGGAACCTAACCAAATCTGCGCATACTTTATTTGTTTATTATTTTTGTTTGGATGGCGATAATAACTTGACACGGGCTGATTCCCATTAATCAAAACATAAATATGATGTAATTGTATATATGTGTGAAAGTATGAAATCATCCGATGCAAAATGCCAGTGATAAGATATCTTGTTGTCGATTGCTTTTGTTGACTTTGCTTTATTTATTTATTTTTTACTCAGAAGCATTTAAAATTGGTTTTAAAGTGAAATAATTTGATAATATTTAACGACACACCCACAGAATCTTTGTTTTAAGTAGTAGAAAGTTTAAAAATTAAATTTTATACAATTTTTTTGCATTTTACAAGAATTTTGCTTGATTTATGGGTTTATTTTGAGTTTCAAACACATTTTATGCGTTTATTGGGTAGTATACAGCTATAAATCAATATCACACTATTACTCCTAGCGCCCTCTGCACGTTGAGTTATGAAGCTGTTGGCTGTAGTACTGTAGGCCGCTACTAAGTTAAGTCACACTGCGTTGGCGTTTAAGTACGTATAGTTGGCGTAGTTGCAGCCAACAGCGCCACTACCTGCGTGCGCTGCGTTTTCTCTTTCCTCTCGCTTCTCACTTCAGTGTAGAATTACTCGTGGCCGGTGGTGTGCGTTCCTCTATCCGTCCACGGTCGCGCGCGCGCTCTCCACTGTTATGGCACCGCTGACGCGCAGCAGTATGTCAGCATTCGCGTGAAAATCTCTCACAACGCCGACGTGCGCCCGCATTTCCGCGCCACCTTCGACTTCCACGACAAGTGAATAATCACGGCATCGCGGACGCGCACACACGATGAGCTCCGATTCGCACGGATAACGTGTGCGCGCTTCCCCGTGCTTCTGCGGTGTGTTGTATACGCCTGCTGCTGCGTTTCGGTCAGCAGTTGTGTGTTGGGCGCTGTGTGTGTTGTGTTGTGTTGTTGACTACGTGCACGCACGCACGCGGGTGTGAGTGAGTGTGTGCGTTTTTTCCGTTTCCAAAATGGTGGGTGTTTCGACGGCGGCGACGTTGATCGCCGTCGTGGTGTGCTGCTGCCGCCTGAGCGTCGCGGCGCACGCCGTCTCGCTGGACTATCGCGACGTCTGCATTAGTCTCAGTACGGCGATTTCCTGCGTCAATCGCAGCCTGGATGCGATGCCTTCCAATCTGCCTAATTGGACGAAGACACTGTAAGTGTTAATTGTTCAATTAAATAACACATGCGGGTGGTTTTGTTTACAAATGGCCGCGGGATAAGTACCGGTTTGGGAATGGTGTGGAGTAATTTACTCTCGGTAGTCTTTAATCAATAACGCGAAAATGCAATAAACCGGAAGAATAATTCTTGGAAATATAGGTTTAGAATTTAATTTAGCATCTATTATCATTAAGAGTTTAATGATAACATTTTTGTAATAAAAGTTATGAAGATATTTTGATTAATTAACAAAATTCTTAATTATTTGACCATAATTAATTTTGTGATCGCTTATTCTCGCAAATTTTGTGTCCTCTTTGTGTAGAATTTAATACAGAATTGATTGTCGAAGGAATTATAATTGCAGTATTTATCATTTATGAATTATTGGGCAATAACTGCGATAACTTGGTTTCCGGTGTTTTATTTTGTCAAATCTCACGTTATGTTGATGTAAAATTGAATTCCCAATCTAATATGTAATGTAAAAATCTTTATTATAACTTGAATAGTTTTGGAAAAAATTTATAAAAAGTCGGTAAAATCCTTAAAATTACAAATTATTATTTTAAACGCGGACGGCTGAAGCCGTTAAAAGTACTTTAGTCACGGGCTTTAGTCATGGGGTGGAGCACAAGATCCTATGAAATGCCAGTTTCCTGTTCGAAGTTCGAAGTTTTACAATACAAAAGTTCCACTACAAAAACCTAAACGTGGAAATAGAGTAGAAACATAAAAAATAGCGTAAGCATCACGTGGCTAAACATTGTTAAACACTCGGTTGATTAAACGCTCTGATTCTTATTATACTATTAGATTCTTATTCGCCTCTTACACTTTCTGGAGTAAGCTCCCACAATATCATTATTCTACCTTCCTTAGCTCTAGTCCCTTTGTCATTAATTAAAAACTCAAACCCCATCAATTCGTATTAGTGAACTCGACTGTGACTATTCTACCATAGACGACAATATACATACAATCAATTGATCTTGCATCAACCGAGAGACTGGTTGTCCCAAAAGGCATCAATTTCACCAACCGAAGACATACATTATACCACACATGGCTTCCCCGGCAACCATGAACCATGAACCCTCCATTAACCACAGTGGTGTGAGCGAGGTGTGAAGTAAAGATCATGAGCGCGAGATCGGAATGTGTTGGTCCGCAGGGTTCACAACTTGCAGCCCAGCCGTCCACTTGCATTTCGTCCGTGGCATATAATAGTATTGTGGTGCAGCACACCAACCCATAGAAAGCAAGAAATCCATGAATAGTATTCATACACATGTTTAAAAGTATATGTGTATGCTATATAAAGCAAGCGGCTGTATCCGAATGCCCTTTTTAAGCCGCATTTCTTCTACACGTGTGTTTATATGTATGCGTTCGGGCGTTCAGGCGAGAAAAGGTATGTTATTGTTGTGTGGTGTGCCCGCGCTGCCTTTTGAATAGAATACCCAATACCCGTCCGGCTGGTTCCTTCAGCGGTGGTGGTGTTTCTCAGTCGCGCTCGCCGCGTCCTTCTCCATCCACAGTGGCTGCATTTAAATCGGAAGATCTCTCGGTGTGCCCGCAACAATAAATTTTAAACGAAGCGGAGGACGCGTCGAATCTTCACACCCAAAGAAAGAACACCTTCTATTCCGTGCGTTGGAAGACCGAGGAATAATGCGCCTTCGTTGGAAATCTTATTTTGTGATAATACAATGTAAGAATGAGAGACGTGTGCACAAAGGAGCAAATCTGAATTTTATTTTTCTCTTCACATCAGGAGAGAAAAAATAAAAAAATCTAGAAAAACACCTGTGTTATAAATGTTGAATAAAAAATTCAAAAAAATAAAATAACAATTGATGGTTGATGAGTTGAGCTAAGCGGAGATGTTGGTGGGTTTAGTATGAGAAGAGCTTAGTATTCTGATGTGGTCATAATGCAATTTATTTCACTTGATATTACTATCAATTGGATGCGTTGCATTAATCTCCTTATTTGGTGCTTCCATATACAATGTGTTCGTTTAGATATATTCAGAATATTCAAATAACTGGTTGTATTGGTATTTTTGGTTATCACAGCCTAAGAATCTTTGAGTCTTATATTCAATGCTTGACGTGCGTGAATTTACGATTCGAGATGCAAGACGCAAGATTTTATTGAAGGTTTTATAGCTGCGAGTTTATTTTGTTTCGCCTTTTTTGGTCGAATACTCAAATCAAATAAAAGAAAATGAAATCTAAAGTTTACTCATGTGCTGTTTGTGTGTTGTGTGTTTTCGTATATGTTCAATTTGTTGTTGGCGCGTTCGTGGAATAGTTTACACTGTGTATATTAGGTTTCATTGAACAATGAACACTTGAGACTTGAGGCTTGAGCAACGATTTATTTATTTTCATTCATTCATAAGTCGGACAATTGTAAATTGAAGGAACAAATGCAAGCGCAGGCCGGGCAATCATTGCGCATTGCATCACGATGCAAACACAATGCAACACATGCTCTCGAGTTGTGTTGGTTGTCGGTTGTTGGTTGTTGGTCACACAGTGCTTGGTTTACTTGGTTTGCTTGGTGTTTATATGCGATTTGAGAAAGAAAATAAATTTCGGCGCGTTTATTGAAATTGATATTTTAGATTGGGTGTTTTACGTGTTTTGAAACTGATATTATAAGCTGAGTATTATCGTGTTATTGTTTAATATATTAATTCACAAACAATTGATGTTTTTGTAAATATTGCGAGATAATTAGGTGATAACATAGAAATTATTATTAGAATAGCAGTTGGTTATCGGGGTTTTAATTAAAGTCGAGGAGGACATTAAAAATATGATAGGACTTTAATTTGATTTATATCTTTAAAAGTTTACAAGTAATCAATCTTTTAAAATTCGATTCTGTTTTAAATTGCAAATCTACTATATATAAATGTTGATAAAAACAATTTTTTATCACGAGTTACAACTTAATTCAGTGTCAAATTTCAGTCTTAATGAAATTCAACTTTATTGGTCTATAACTATTGTTATAATGAATTTTAGGAAATAATTGTCTCATTAGATGTAGAATTTAATACAGAATCAATATTTGTAATTAGTATTTTCCTAGCTTATGTAGAATTTGCGTAAATTACTGAAAACTACAAGAAAACGCGTTTATTTGGCATAATTCGTTCGATTAACCCCTTAATCTCAGCTACTTTTTAATTAATATCTCCGAAACGCAATAAGATATTTTACTAATTCTTTCACAAGCTTATTTAGAATTTAATTACAAAAAGTTTTTCATAATACAATTTTCATAGATTGTTATAAATCCATTTGTTTCAACTTTTTTCATATTTAATCTAAAATCGAGCGTAACTTTCGTCTGTAACATTTTTTCTGATAATGTTTTTATCAAATTTTGTACATAATTTAATACATAATTAAATATAGGTATAATGAATTATTGAAACAATCACTATCCTACATTCGATGGTTTCAAAATAAATTCAATATTTTACCCATTTTACTATAAACAACATTTTATTAATCCTTTCGAATGATTTCTCAACAAATCTAGAACATTAAACTATCACTGTAAACATCTCTACACTGTACAATTAGTAAAATTTCATAATTAACAAAAATACCGATAAACTCAACATAATTAACGTGATTAATTACTGCTGATGGAAATGATGCAACAAAAAGTTGCATTTTATTGATAATCTAATGAATTGCAGCAACATCTGCTGTATTTTTACTCGCTGTCTCAGACGTCCAGACTTTATATCCTCCTCCCCACTGATAACAATTAACTCATTACATGTCAGATGTTTACAGATGATACTCAACTCGTGATAGTTCGATTTGTTTTCATTCACTGCGATTGTCGACGAGTTTTCATTGATAAATCCCGATTCGCACGCTTCTCATATAATATAAGCCACAGACCGAGAATATATCATAAACAATAAACACACGAACATGAAAAATATTTCGTAATCATAATCGTACGCCCGAGCATAACTCACAACATATAACATATAACCGCGTATATTCTACACACAAAGATCAGATGAATATGAATAATGTAATGTGTGTGTGTGTGTATTGGTATTATTCATGGTTTCGCTGGAAGTTATTAACTACATCAACATCCTATATCAAATCATCAATGAATCATCTAACACACTTGTAACGGATGGTTTTTCATAATTGCACACATGTACGTGCTGGAACTGGGAATAGAAACAGCGACAATGAGAGGTTTCAGAGAATTGAAAAAATTGATTCGTGTAATTGCAATATGTGTGTTACAATGTCATTACAATGCATAAAATTTCATTGATACGTGATATTTTTACAATGTGACATGTTTCTACGACCACGCAAATCACGTCATCTATTGTATGGATTAGGGGATTTCCACTGAGTTAGGTTTATAGTTTTAATGTGTGTTAGGTGCGCTTTTGTTTAATTTTTTTAAATTTTCTTTCTCCTTGAGGTAAATAGGATTTTCCGTTTTGTTGTGAATTATAGAGGTGTTAAGTATGTGGGGATTCTTAGTATAAATTCCGAAGGTTCTTAGAAATACAGGTTGGCTTCGAAGTTGGTGGAAATTTTTTGGATTTCTTGAAGTTTTCAGGTATTTTTTCGTATAAAATAAAAGTTAAATAGTTGATCAAAATATTTTTACTATGTTTTCACAACAAATCATTTTCTTTGATACTGATTTTTAATTTTACCCAATTTTCTGGTTTTATTTAATCTAATTGATGATTTTTCTTCGATACTCGTCAATTTTAGAGCACAAAACTTCACAGAATAATAAATAAGAAAAATGATGTTAATACGAGATTTTCATTTTAATGTAAATAAAAATGTTTTAAATTTTTTTCTTTTATTTTGTTTCAGGAGTTTAAACAATAATCACATTGGCCAAGTAGACAAATCCATCCTCCAGGACCTCACCCGCCTGGAGGAGCTGAAGATGAACAAGAACCGCGTCCGGGTGATCTACAAAGAGAACTTTGGAAAGTTAACCAATCTTAAAGTGCTGTAAGTACAATTATACAATCAAATATTATTTAATCTATTTAAACGTAGTATTATGTTTAAGTTTATGTTATTTTCGGCTTTGGAAAATTTTCGATGTTTTGCTAGCTGGCCCTTGGTAACATACAACGAACGCTTGTTTGTTTTGTTTCTTATTTACACTACGCCTCCGCTCCGCGCGTCGCAACGTCAAAATAAACGCTCCAAATAGGATGTGTATTGTTGTTATCGCTGTGTATACTTAACCTTATCACTCAGAAGGATTTGCACGATTGCGCTATAATAGGCATAGGTACTGTAAGACGTTGAGTGGAGTGTAATCTTATCAACCAACGATTTCTGCCTTTGTTTGGGTTTTTATAGCGTGGTTTATGAAGTGCTTTATTCCTTTGCTCTATTTATAGCAGATTTTAGTGAGAGGGTATTACTTAAAATAGTTTTTTTTCAAAAATTATTATATAAATGTTTAGTTGTTTAAAGAACGGTACAATTGAGTTAAGTTTTTACAAGAGTCATTAGGCAGTTATTTAGAAAATACTAGAAAAAAATTAAATGATCAGAATTTCTAGTTTTTTTAAGCAAAATGCCGAGTTTTCTGCTAAAATTTGCGTTTTAAGGGGCACACCTAGTGTGACGACTTAAAAAATGGCCATTTTTTGGAATTAAATATAAAGGAAACTAGTGAGTCCACTTATTTAAAATTTTGAGGGTATATTTATACATGTTTTGTGAATACACAGTAAATTTTTTGAAATAAAATATTTATTAGTTTTGGAATGACACGCGATCTCCGGCGGCGCCAAAAAAAAAGGTCCTCCACTGCTGGCGTGATTGCAGCCTTCTCCGTCGACAAAACCAAACAGAAAAAATTCTCCTTAAACTAAAACATATTTTCTATACAATGACCCTCGGGCGAACAAAAAAATCAAAAATTGACAAAATGGCGGCACTTTGAATAAAAAAGTTAAATTTTTCCAAAAATTTTGGTGGTTTTTGGCCAGCCAAAATTCGATTTTTGATCAGATCATAAAACTGGAGGGTCATTGTATGGAGAACTATATAGAGGAGATGCAAAAAAAATTTGATAGCGATCGGATCATTTGTCTTCGAGTAATCACGCCAGCAAATTCGAAAAATGCTGTTTCGAGAAAAACGCGTTTAAAGATCAAATGCAACTATCTAACTGCCGAGCGGCTACTTTTTCAAATGGCTGTTACTCAAAAACTATTTCAGATATCAAGTTAAAATTTTAGTATGTTATTTTAAAAGGTATAACCTATCGAAATATGGTAAAAAAAAATTTTCGATTTTTTGAAAATTTCACACTAGGTGTGCCCCTTAAAGCGACTAAGCACTACTAAAATACACAATATCGTTTTCGGCGTATCTAAAAATTAAATTACACCTGAAATAATAGTTGTATCGTGGTTCTAAATTCTGGAATAATTAAAAAAATCGTAATTTTCAACATCAATTTTTGAGCTTAAATACGCGTTTTATCGCCAAAAATCGAATAAAAACAACGCAATTTTTAGTAATTAACGCAAATAACTAAAATATTCACAAGATAATGGTTATAATTATAAAACAAACTTAATTAATATTGTATGAACTGAATAATATATTAAACCATTCGAATTTCACGTTTTTGAAGTAAAAGACCAATTTTAATGTTTAAATTTGCTTTAAAGCGACTAAGCACTTCTAAAATTAACAATCTTTTATTTCTCACGTCCATAAACTAAACGTACGTATGCCTGTAATTTGCGTTATATACATCCCAAATAAATTTTAAATTTGTAAGGTAACATGTTTTCTTTATGATTTACAGAGAACTGAACCGTAATCAATTGGAAAATATTACGGCGTTGAGTTTTCAGTACCTGGAACACGTTACAGTACTCCGTCTTCGACGGAACAAGATCCGCAACCTTCCAGACGGTTCATTTTTTGGTCTTTCCCGAATTAAACAACTGTAAGTCATAAAATAATCCATTCTTTAAAAAAAACCTACATTTATTCTATTTTTCCAGCCAACTTGATTACAATTTCATCGAATCAATCAAGAAATCCTGGCTCTACAACCTGGAGAGCCTCACAAGTCTCTCGCTGAGCAACAATCGCATTTCCGCTATTGACAGCGATGCGTGGGAGTTCTGCAAAGGGTTGATAGAGTTAGATCTTTCTTCCAACGCATTGAAATACATCCGCAGGGACTCTTTTCGTGATTTGTCCCTGCTGCAAGTATTAAATTTGCAGAATAATTTGATTACGAATATTGAGGAGAGTGCGTTTTCACATACGCCTAATTTATATGTGCTGTAAGTCATTATTATTATTTTTACTTATAAAGAAAAATGGTTAACATGTTTTTTATTAATTAGAAATCTGAACGTGAATAAAATTTCTTGGTCCATCGAAGACCCGAATGGAGTCTATCGTGGATTAAGCAATCTTCGCAACTTTTCAATTGCGTCAAACGAGATCAAATCGATCAATAAACACGCATTTTCCGGTTTGACACAGTTGAAATACCTGGATATGAATAATAACAACATCGGAGGTATTCAACTGAATGCTTTTAAAGATTTACAACAATTAGAGGTAAATTTTTCACATTTCCCTGTTTAATTTACACCAAAATTAATTTTTTAAACTTTTTTCAGGTTTTAATTCTAAACACCTCTGCACTCCTCTGCGATTGCAACCTCCAATGGTTCTCCGATTTCCTCCATACACGTCCATTGAACGTGACAACAGTCTGCGCATACCCCGAATGGCTCCGTGGTCGCTCACTCCTCAACGTCCCTTCAAACAATTTCACCTGTGACAATCTCACAAAACCACGCATCATAGAAGAACCAGACGCTGAAATCATGGCTCTAAAAGAAGAAAGCATAACTCTCACTTGCCGCGCTGTTTCCAGCTCCCCATCACCGATGGTCTTCAAATGGAAAAAAGATAATGTGGAACTGCGTCATCCGGGTAATAACATGACCGTACGCGCTACCACTGACGGTAACAACACCGAGAGCATCTCGCAGTTGACTATCTCACGCGTGCAACACGCCGACGCCGGCAAGTACCAGTGCGTCGTCTCGAACAGCTTCGGCACTTCATACACGCGAAAATCCAGCATCGCTGTGCTTATTTATCCCACGTTCGAGAAAATACCGAGTAATATAACTGTACAGGCAGGCGCGACGGCGAAACTCGTCTGCTCGGCCGCGGGCGAACCGCAGCCGGAAATCGCCTGGCAGAAAGATGGCGGCAATGATTTTCCAGCGGCGCGCGAACGACGCATGCAGGTTATGTCCGGCGATGATATGTTTTTTATCATCAGTGCGAAACTATCGGATATGGGCGTGTATAGTTGCACTGCGCATAATGCAGCTGGTAGTATTGTAGCGAATGCTACGCTGATTGTGGAAGAACGCCCCTCGTTTTCGAAACCGATGGAGAATAAAACCGTCAAGATGGGTGAATCTGTTGTCATTCAATGCATGGCGAGTGGATCGCCGAAGCCTACGATACAATGGTATAAGGATAATATTCCTATTACACCCACAGAGAGACATTTTTTTACTGCTGAGGAACAATTGATGATTATTGTGGATAGCGTCTTCTCCGATGCGGGAAATTACACCTGTAAGCTGAATAATACTCTGGGTGTGGAAGTGGGTCATAGTACAATCATCGTCAAGCCTGGGAATATGCCCTTCAGTGATATGATGGGCATTATTATCATTACTGTTGTGTCATGCGCGGTTCTAACCTCTTTTATATGGGTGGTTATTATTTATCAAACGCGGAAGGGAATGAGTGGTTCCAGTGTGCGGAATCTCAACTCAACTGTAATGTTGGACTTTTCCGAGAAGAGATACCCTGATAATGCATCAGAACATTCATCTTGTAAGGATAGTGGTACGGGTGACTCGGCAAAAAGGAGTAATGATGATTTAATGCCACCGGATGAATACACGCTGATTATTAATGGTAGGCAACCAAACTTACAAGTTTATATTCAGTATATTTTATTTTTGTTTGGTTTATTTACAGAAACTAATCCAGAAAACAAAAATAATTCGTCCATGCGAGCAGCTAGTATGGTGTACTTAGCTGCTGGGGAGGTGTCAGGGGTGAGTACACCCCTGCTGCATGGTTCGCCGCATGCACACGGGATGCCAGTGCAGGTTAAGGTGCGTTCGACGAATCACGATCGGCAAGCGATCGAAGTGGAATCACCTTCGCCGCCTCCACCACCGCCGCCATTAAGTTGCAGTGAGGAGGATGAGTAAAGGTGGGAGTTGAAACTCCGCCCATCAAAACACCAAAAGAGGTGTGGTTTTTTTTCTGTGATTGTTTTTTATATTTTAAACTTTAAAATCAAAAATCGTTCGCGTTTCGGTTCCTATCTCAATAGGAAGGTAAATTATTTAGGTATCATATTGCAAAATTTACAAAAATTTTTATATTTTGCAATAATTGGTATTTAAATTTAAATACGTAAATTATTATTTGTGTAATTTTAGTTCCTAACTATTTACTAAGTGCAAATACTGACTGTTTATTTAATTTTAATTCGACGCCTGTTTTTGCGGCGTCTGCAGATGAACTTTTCTCTTAAATACGAGAAAAGTGCTAGAAAACTTAAATTCGTGCCTACAGTTGAAAATTTGAGAAATTTACACGATATTTACGAATTACACTCACACAACACTCGAAACACTGAAACGCAGAGACAAATTTAAACACTTGACAACTTTGAAGGCCTTAAACAAAATTTAAAAGACTTGAAACCAGTGAAACGAAACAAAAAACAAAAAGAAAAACTTAAAAAGTGCAACTATTGAAACGTGTGGCCATATTTATATATTTGATTGAATATTTAACGATGAAATTAATTCCTATAGCAAATGTATAGGATCTAGGGCCATACAAGCGCAGTTTTCTTCCATTTTTAGCGCAATTGTCGCCACAATTGTTACTAAATGTTACGCCAGCTTTAATATAAACGAAGTTAGTTTGAAGCTGTTACATTAACTTTTGAGGTTATGTAACATTTTCAAGCAAAAATTTATCTTTTGAAAGATTTAACAGAATGTTTGGCTTCGTTATCGTCCTGTATTGTCCCGATATAGTTATTCAAGCGCGATAACAATGTGGTCAGACACGTATTACACTTCCTTCCGCCGTGTGCAAGTATTGTTTTTCTTATTTAAACACTAATAACCTATAATTACTGATGAATGGCAGCTATGCGTGTGCAAAACTATTTATTCTCGTTGCTCGTACCGCCCACGTACGACGACGATGTCCATATTATATCTTATTATACTTGTGTATATGTAGTATGAGTATGTTTGTTAATATTTGTGATTGTAGATCTACTAATGATTTAGTTTTTAAGATTAGACGCATAGGTGATTTAACGCGGTAGCTGAATAAGTTTGTACAGTTGATGATTTGATTTGGAATTGTTTTGGAGTTGTCGGTTTTCTTTTTATATATATTTTAAATGAACCCAAATACGGATTACAAAGCTTTACACTCGTCATAACGGCCATAATATTTTATAATAAAATAGAATCGCTGTGGATATTAGATGGAAACTGACTTGTTTTACTTTTTCGATTGATGTTATTATGTCGAGATGGATGAGATTGTATAATATTTACAGATAGTATTAATATTTTACCTCAATGTGATCAAAAACAATACATAAGATCAATAAATAACCTGAAAACATACATTATAACCTCTAAAATGTTACAAATTCTATAAAAGTGAGGTTATGTTGCTTTTAAACTCATTTATTCAACAGATTTGAAAATTGAAATGATTTTATGATGGCGGAATTAATATGGAATCTTAACTTTTTAAGTTTCACACGTTTTGAAGCGAATTCCGCATTTGACGCCATTTTACCGGGGCAATAAAGTAAACAGACAAGTGCACCAGACGAGGAAATAGTAAAACCGGTGTCTATCGTGTCACTGAGAGTGTTAATACGCCGCAAAACAAGGAATCCTCTCAAGCGACGCCACGGCCTGTGCACCCGTCCGTCGATCAATGAATCAAATCCTCGGCGCGACGCCAAGATGTCCGGCCGCCACCAGACGAGGAAGACGTGACGGTGAGTTTCGTTTTCAATTAATTTTGCATAACGTTAACACTGATTAGATACATTCTACTTCTTGTTTCGTTTAATTATCATTACCACTGGTTGTTTTGCTCCCTACATTACCGACGCGCGCGTTTATCTTGTTTTTGTAATTACCTACAAGCGCCATTTTGATTTCTTATTGAAAAGCTTTTAAAATCTCTGAAATCGGTCTATTAATTGTGCAAAAACACGTTTGTGAAGCATGATGATTAGTGGGCCTCGGTGTGGGTCGTTGTGTCGGCATTGTTCGAGTGTGTACTTAAAAGCGACGCAGCGCACGTAAACTTTTCAAGTACCTGCCGAACCTGCGGAGCGCTGCGTCGTCGTCAACCCGCTCGACGAAAAGTTTGTGTTTCATTACGCGCGTCCGCACCGAGTGCATGACCTCGCAATATTCAGTATTTCCAGTACCAGTATTACCTATAACTACAACGACAACCAGTTTTAGTTCAAGTTCGCTCAATTTATTTTAAAATAAGTTTATTACAAGAAGTTAAATGGCAAGTAAGTAGTATTTATTTTTATTTTGATAAATTTTGTTTCTTTGGCGTACTTTTTATGCGATTGATTGAATGAATGAATGAATATTCATGTCAGCCGGATATTTCAACACGTAATTATATTGGCCTGTTAATTGTGAGTAATGTTTTGTTTTTGCCTGCAATCAGCGGGCAGCGTGACTTGCGTGAGAATGTAAAAACGAATTATCTCTCTTGGTTGATGATTTCAGATAAAAATAAATAACAAACATCACGCCACATGAGATATTTTTCAGTTTTATTAAGTTTAAATAGACTTAAACTAGAAATAAACCTAAAGTTAGGCTTAAAATGGTGTAAAAAGACACTTTTGACTCTCTGCGTATGATTATTTAATATATGCAACCAATATGACACCATAAATGACATAAAAATTAGAAAACATGAGATTTTTGTTTGTTTTGTGAGGTTTTTAATTTTTATTAAGTTTAAATAGTCTTAACCTACAAATAAACACAAAAATACATACACAAAAGTGAAAGTTGAGTTAATAATAGTGTAAAAATGTCTTTTTAAACCTCTGTGCGTGACCATTTGATATATGCAACTTTATTAGCATCTTGATGCTGTCATTATGTAACGTAACCCAACCTTGACACTTGCACATACCGGCCGTGTCCTATAATGATGATTGTTTCATTGTTCGCGATTTGTGACGTTCCGCAACCTGTAATGCCTGTAATTGTAATGCATTCGACTTCAATTTCATCGACTGTCCCCGTGGTTGTGCAACGCGTGACGTACGCAACGTGAAATTGCAAGTTAGCATCGCATCGCCAAAGTAACGTGACTATTCAACTTTGTAATCTCAACCGGCGAAAAGCACGTGCTTATTCAGTGTAAGATATATAAATATGTTCGTACTCGTATATATTATATTCGTTAATTTTGTGCGGCATAATTACTTTTCTTATCTGCGCACTATCATTATTGTGTATTATCATCACAAATTAAAGTTTACGCGGTATATATTATTACTTACTACAGTTTGTTGTGTAACAGTTTTGGAATTTATTTTGAGTTAATTGATAGTAAATTTTTGGATATTGGTGTGTTAAACATGCGAAGAATGCAAATAATACAAATTGGGAGCGAATTTAGAGCTCAGAGCGTGTTTTTAAAGCTTTTTTGAACTTTTAATGAGATCATATATATCATAAACATTTGATAGTCGACTTTACAGGTTAAAACAGGGTAAAAATTGTTTTCATTAGGGAAATTAATCAATGGACAGCCATTATTTGAAGCCTAGCTCGTATTATTCGTAAATTTCGAATGTAAAAGGCCCAATTTAACCTAAAATATAATTTTTGAGTGTCGCTAGTGTCGATAATAATAATATTTCATTGAAATTCCAGTTTTAGACGTCATTTTAAACCAAAAGTAGGCAACTTCTTTTACTGCTTTATAGCCACCAATCCATTTCATTGGCCAGTCGATGAAAAAACCTATTTTTCTTTCACAAAAACCCAACACTTTTTTTAAAACCCAATAATTCAACGAGTTTACTATTTATCAACTTCAACTTTAGAATGATTTGAATCAGTGTGCAATTAAATAAATCATAAACATAATTAACTGATTAAATACTCACACATACTTATTTTTTTTAATCTATAATGACTTTATTATCTCAGTGAGACATGATTTTTTTAACTCATGAATCAAATAATAAATGAGCACGATCGGTAATATGGTATCAATTAATGTAAAATTTACGAGTCTATTCTTGAATTTGTTATAGGAGCACATAATATTGATCGTGTAGGTGATAAAGTGCTACACATACGAGTATTCTATCGATATATTGCAATGGCCATGAACTAGATACAAATTCAAATTAAATTCAATCGCAACCAGCAGCTCCAACTTTAAATTAAAAGTAGGACTTTATCTTCATCTCCAAAAACCGCGCGATTTCTTTTCTTTTATTCCAATCCATATATGAATAGGAACGAACAAGTGGTACAGTCCTGTCAAAATATTAAATCTCAGTTTTATGAGTTAATATTTCCGCTGTTGAGCAATAAATATACAGACATTGTAAAGATAATAAGAATAATTGTGTATGTTGATGAAAAAATGAGAATTTTACTTTTTGAGGTTATGTTGGATGTGTTTTAATCGAATTTTAACAATGTATGCAACTAACATTACATGAATTTTTGTTTTTTAGTTGTTTTAGGCATAAAAATGATAGCTAACACAACATAACCTTATTTAAGAGAAAATAAATTGATATTGAACGAAGAATTGATTTCTATTCAAGTAATAATTACAATATTCGAAAATAAACAAAAACTTTTACTGCATTTTCCATAATTTAAAGACAATACAGATGAAAAACAAACACTCTGTACAAGTTGTATTACTATTATCGACTCGTATGACTCGTCCACTAACACGCCTTTAGCTGTAACGATTTAGTTGAAAATTGTTGCGCGATACGGTTTAGCACGATTTGTACTATTCGTAACCAACGCAACCAATGGCAACCTTGAAAATTCGTTCGGGACGTTTTTGTGAAAGTCATTTTTAATCGCGGTATACACTCGCGGCGCGTTATGCTGCTGCATTCGCGATCACAACCTCGAATAGTGAACATCTGATTCTCACAAATATTTTCTTTTAAAATAACAAGAAAACCACCTAAAAAAAATACACAAAAATGGATTGTGACGGTTAGTGTTTTGGTTACCTAGCACCAGCAGCCATTTGTAATTATCACCAAACATTGTTTTCATTCTTGTTTCTTGATAATTTGCAGAGAAAAACGAAGAATGCCTCGCTCTCTACAGGAACTCGCTGAAATCAGCGGACATGGACCACGACGGGACCCACTTCGACGGGCAGTACCCGCATGTGTTTGTTATCCTCGGCGCGTCGGTAAGCATCTAATCATATACAACATATAAACACATTTGACTTTTTGACCTTGACGTCACCTTGTTTACCTTTACTTCACTTTTCTCTATTAAAGGGTGATTTGGCCCGGAAAAAAATCTACCCTACATTATGGTGGCTATACAGAGACAATCTTCTTCCAACCAACACCATCTTCATCGGTTATGCACGTAGCAAGACCACAGTGGAGACCATCAGGGAAAAATGCCAGGAGTACATGAAGGTCAAACCTAATGAACAGGAAAGATATGAAGCATTTTGGAGGATTAATCATTACGTTGCCGGGGCGTATGACCAAGGTGCTGATTTCGAGGTGTTGAATAAGGAGATGTGCAAACACGAAATTGGTCCGGTTGCCAACAGGTTGTTTTATCTTGCCTTACCCCCATCGGTTTTTGAACCTGTCACTGTAAACATCAAAGAAAAGTGTATGGCTACCAAGTAAGTAAAAAATCCGCCATTTTTTTCATTTCACTAATAATTATTTTATGTTTTTGTAGAGGTTGGACACGTGTAATCATCGAAAAACCCTTCGGACGTGATTCCGCATCCTCCGATAAACTCTCCAATCATCTCGCTGGGCTTTTCACCGAACAGCAGATGTACCGTATTGATCATTACCTTGGTAAAGAAATGGTCCAGAATTTGATGACTCTGCGTTTTGGAAATCGTATCTTTTTCCCAATTTGGAACCGTGATAACATCGCTTCCATCCAGATTTCCTTCAAAGAACCATTTGGTACTCAAGGTCGTGGTGGATACTTTGATGAGTTTGGTATTATCAGGGACATCATGCAGAACCATCTCCTGCAAATTCTTACACTGGTTGCTATGGAGAGACCGGTTGATCTGCATCCGGATTCAATCCGTAATGAAAAAGTCCGAGTATTAAAGTGTATTGAACCATTGGAGCCCAAGGATGTTGTTTTGGGTCAATATGTGGGTAAACCAGGCGGTGTGGGTGATGAAGCCCTGGGGTATCTTGATGATCCTACTGTTCCCAAGGGGTCTGTGACTCCTACTTATGCTTTGTCCGCGTTGCGTATTAAGAATGAACGCTGGGATGGCGTTCCGTTTATTTTGAAATGTGGAAAGGCTTTGAATGAACGTAAAGCTGAAGTGAGGATTCAGTTCAAGGAGGTTCCCGGGGATATTTTTGATGGTAAAGCGAAGAGGAATGAGTTGGTTATTAAAGTACAACCTGGAGAAGCGTTGTATGTGAAAATGATGGTGAAAACACCCGGAAGTCCTTTTGATATGGAGGAAACTGAGTTGGATCTTACTTATGGAAGTCGATATGCTGTAAGTTTATATATAACATATTATAACCTCAAAATTAATTTGTTTTTTGTGTTATTGCAGAATATTAAACTTCCTGATGCGTATGAACGTTTGATTCTGGATGTTTTCTGTGGATCGCAGATGCATTTCGTTCGTTCTGATGAATTGAGCGAAGCGTGGAGGATTTTCACGCCGTTGTTGCATCATATTGAAGGCAATGGAATGAAACCTATTCCATACTTGTAAGTTGCATAACCTTAAGTGGTTAATATATAATATGTTTTTATAACCTTAAAATTTAGATATGGAAGCCGTGGCCCCAAGGAAGCCGACGAGTTGCTGTACAACAACAACTTTACGTATTCCGGTTCGTACAAGTGGAAGCCTAACTTGTAGGCGACTACAACATCATAACCTCATAGGTTATTTTAAGGTACGCATTTATTTTACTGGTGTTAATGTTGATATTATGGGATATTGTTGAATAATTTATTAGAGCTATTTATTAACCGAGATTTTTTATTAATAACGATGAGCGCTTTGTTTCTGTAGCTCGAATTTGATTAAAGAAATTATTTTCTATGACTTTAACATTATTTTAAGGTTAAAACAAAAGAAAAAACGATATTTTGAGGTTAAGAATGTGATTTATATGAGATACAAACGTAAAGAAATCACATAACTAACCTAAAAATAAAAATGTTTGGTTTCAAGGTGTCGTTTTCACAAAAAATAGTTCAATAACAATAAGTAATAAATACACTGGGGTAATGTTTGCGTGAATCTGATCTGAACTTGAACTTAAATCTGAAAATAAAAATCAATCAATGAAAAAAATCAATTAAATCAAACAAAGACGGCACAAAAAGCGGAGATTAAATTCAAATTAAAGTTGAGAGTTAAAAGCGCATGCTTCATCACCACCCCCCGCGGAAATTAGTTTAAATAAATTAATTTAATTGTTTTATGTGAGTGCAGTTAGTCAGCCTCTGAGAGTGCGTAATCATTCCTGGAGTTGAAAAATTGAAATAAAGTTAGTTGCGGCACATAGATAACAAAAATAACAAACAAAATTAGAAATAATAACGCAATCTTACCAAGCCTTCACGTCTGAGGCAAGAATATGATCGATAATTCTCTGTACGACATCCGTACTGGAGGCAGTGCCTCCAAGGTCAGGCGTTTGGATTTTATCCTCGCAGATTGTTTTGAAGATAGCGTTGCGGATAAGATTCGCGTGTTGCTGACGGCCTAAATGGTCCAGCATGTCACAGGAGGCGTTCAACATGGCGATTGGGTTCGCGATGTTTTTGCCAGCGATTGATGTTCCGGTATTCCTGGTACCAGGTTCAAATACTGCGTACTAATGATATTAATTAGTCATAGCAATGTTTAAAACATGTAATACATACGTGATCACCGTAGTTTTTACCGGAAACTAAACCAGCGCCGCCGATAAGACCGCAGATAACATTGCTTACAATACTGCCGTAGAGATTTGTCATGATCATGACGTCGAACTGATGCGGGTTGCTTACAAGTTGCATGCAGCAGTTATCGATGATCATGTCGTTGTGCTCAATCTCAGGGTATTCCTTAGCTACGCGTCGGGAAGTCTCCAGGAATAGACCATCGGATAATTTCCTAAAATATATTGTGTTAAATTTATGTAGAAATTGGGTATTTGCATGATTTTGGGAGTTTTTGTCTTGTTTTTGTCCATAAATATTTAAATTATTCATTATTTAAGAAAAAGCCAAACCTATCACAGCATGTTTTATGTTTTAATGCAATTTTTGAGCATTTTTAACACTTCATTTAGTTAAAAACGGAATTTTTCATTTTTTTAACAAAAATCTTTATACTTACATAATGTTGGCTTTATGAATGGTTGTAACCTTCTTCCTGCCATGCATCCTAGCATATTCAAACGCCCAACGCGCAACACGTTCCGAATTCGACTCGGTTACAACTTTCATTGATTCTACAACCCCACTAACACTCTAAAAATAATAATTTTAATCAAATATTACCTTAAACCCTCTGTATTTCTATATTTATATATAAAATTACCTCATGTTCCAACATAGCATACTCTCCCTCTGTATTCTGTCGGATAATATCAATATCAACGTTATTCTGCCTTGATCTCACGCCTGGATAAGACTTGCAGTTGAGTACGCTGATGTACAAGTCCAATTCATTACGAATGGCGACATTTCTCGATTGTACTAAAGTGTCTTCACTCTTTGTTTCGATGTTGCCTTTGAGTGCGACACCGTTACGTTTGATAGAGGTGATTAAATGGAGTAGGTCGTCGCTGTTTGGGTCGACGTGGATGGTTTCAAAGTCAACGGGGGCTCCAGCATAGCGGAAGACTTGTTTGACGTAGCCCATCAGTTCGGGGCCGATGCCACTGCCAGGGAGGAGGGTGACAGCATGGCGGCCTCCATATAATGCAACAGGAATTGGGTCCTTGAATAATTAATAATAAGTTTAGTAGAGAATTTAGAATTAAGTTGTTTTGTTGGAGTTTTTAATGAATTACTCTTAAATGAATCAAGATAGAAATATGGTTCTTGCACCAATCGATTCCTAATGAAATTCTGCATTGAATGAACGTATAATATTGTTGCTAATTAAATTATGTAATTAGTTATAAACAATTTTTATAAATTTTAGTAATACCAACTTTAACACCCTGTTACATTTTGTCTATTAACACAATCCAAGAGTTTCTTTCGTTATTTAATGTAAAATTTAATTCTAAACAACCATGTGAAAGAATAATTACTTTATCACAATTAGTTTAGCAGTAATTGCATCAAATGTAAAACAAAACATGTTTCCACCTCTTTTAGACTGTTATTCTCCATTTATGCGGTGAATATTATAAAAAAAAAATTACCTGTTTCCTGACTACAGGACTCTTGTGTTGCAGCTCAAACGCTGATAGTGTCTGCGTCGAAGCCTAAAACGCAAAATAATCATTTTAGTTTACATATTTATATTTATAAAATTATAAGGTTATGTGCAAAATGATTACCTAACAGTGATTTAAAACAATTAAAAGTCTTACCAGGCGTACTGCGCGGCTTAAATCGACGGGTGTTTTCAAGAATATCCTCCCAGCCATTATACACTGCTGTAGAAATTAAATAATCACGTGTAAAAACGTGCGAAATTTACGAAACTCACTTCACAATTCACAACCAATGCGACACCTTCTGTTCATAACAATCGACAAACAAGTTCCAACCGCGTGACTTCATACGAGTGCAAGCGAAACAGAACAACTTCAACTGTCACGTTGACGTTTCGGTAACTTCTACACGAATTCCATAAATCCCCAACCTCGCAGCTGTCATCTGTCATTTTTAAAATCAATAAACTTTTGTTCGCGTATTTGTTGTGATCGTTGCGATTTTGTTTTCGAGCGATGTGAGCGTAACATGGCATTGAAACAGTGAATAATCTAAATATACTTTACCAAAACGTTCCTTACAAGGTAAAACACCTTCGAACAGTCGAAAATCACTGTATTTCGCAATAATCATTAGAAATTATTTACATTACTTGCATTTATTGTTAATTTAAGGTTATAATTTATAATCTTTAGTTTCTAGTCAAAGAAATAGTCATAATAGTGGAGATCATGTCGAATACGAAGAAGCCACAGGCCGAGGAGGTCGAAAATGTGCGTGTGATTATACGCATACGGCCGATGAGCAAGAAGGATCATGCGGAAGGAAATCTGGACATCATTGAGCTGGATGATGAGGAGAGTGTGCTTACACTTACTAAACCTACTGGAGGACATGAAAAGACTAAAACGTTTAAGTTTGATCATGTTTTTGGCACGGATTGCACACAAGTAAGTGACAACTAACAAAATTATGATTTGTGTTGGTTTTTTATTAATAACTTTTAAACTAGAAGAGAAGAGTTAATAATTCTTTCATATTTTGATTCAGAATTAAATTCTACATTAAATTATTATAAAATTTAATTAAATATTTATTGTTATATAGGATTAATTTCACTTCAAAGTAATTTTTGTTAGATTTTTAAATTTTTTTGAATTTTGCTCTATAACTTAAGAAAAAATTAAGTTATTAATCAAATTCTTTCGTTTATTTGTGTATAATTTAATTAAGAACCCATCACTGAAAGATTTATTATCATACAAAGCTTAGTTTAAAAGTTATTCAATAATTAAGTTGTCTTCGCATGTTTTTTCAACATCTTTGACCTTTTTGACCTCTAATCTCTTCAAAAACACAATAAAACACAAAAATTCATAAAAACCCAACTAATATCTTCTATAATCTTTATCTAGATGGAAATTTACCGCCATATTGCATACCCAATCGTCGAAAAAACCCTCCAAGGCTACAACGGCACCATCTTCGCCTACGGTCAAACCGGAACCGGCAAAACCTTCACAATGGCGGGCGATAACAAAGTCCCCGAGCTGAAAGGTATCATCCCCAATGCATTCTCCCACATCTTCTCACACATTGCACGCGCTAGCGAAGAGAAAGCCTTCGCTGTCACAGTGACATATTTAGAGATCTACAACGAAGATGTCCGTGATTTACTGTCAAACACACCGAATACCAAACTGGAAGTACGCGAGAGAAAAGATGTCGGCGTGTACGTGAAAGATCTGATGGGTTTCACCGTTGATTCGATCGAATCGATTACGGAGCTGATGACCCGCGGCAATAACAATCGCATGACACGTTCGACGTTGATGAACGACGTCAGTTCGCGTTCGCATGCCATTTTTACCATCACTATTGAATCGAAAGATCGTTTGGATAATAAGACACGCATTGGCAAGTTGAATCTTGTTGATTTAGCTGTAAGTAATTAATATTTTAATTTTTTTGTTTAAATATTAAAATATTTAATTTAAAGGGTTCTGAACGTGTGAGCAGAACACATGCCACTGGAGATCGCCTCAAAGAAGCCTCCAATATAAATCAGTCACTTTCTGTGCTTGGAAATGTGATTTCCGCGTTGGTAGACTGTAAAAGTACGCATATTCCGTATAGAAATTCGAAATTGACGCGTTTATTGCAAGATTCGCTGGGTGGTAACTCGAAGACGGCTATGATAGCGATGGTGAGTCCATCAGACGCTGATTATGAAGAGAGTATTTGTACTTTGCGATATGCTAGTCGTGTGAAGTATATTAAGAACACTGTGCGGATTAATGTTGGGACTAAGAAAGGTCTCATCGAAGGATTTGAGGCGGAGATTGAGAAGTTGAAACAGCAAGTGGAGTATATTTCACTGCATGAGGAGAAGGTCGCTGCAAGGATTGAGAATAAACGCAAAAAGGAGAGTATACTAGAAGAAGAGAACCGGAAACAGGCTGCTGAGATTGAACAAACAGAGTAAGTAAAGTTTTATAAATTTAGTAGTAGCGCCATCTAGGTTAGATTGGTTTAACTGTTATTGTGATAGATTTTTGGATTTTTTCTTTTAAAGTTTAATTTTTGCGGTAAAATGTATCCTAGGTCCTTTTCTAATGTTTAAACTATGTCTAAATCAAAATTTACTAACATTGGTTCATTTGTTTAGACGCAAAACAGAACCAAACAAACTTTCAATGTAGAATTTAACTAAATGCTTTTTTTGTTTTACAGAAAAGAAAAGAATGATATCCTCAACAAAATAACACTAATCCAAAAGAAGATCCTCGTCGGCGGTGAGAATCTCTTCGAAAAAGCAAAACAACAAGAATTCCTGCTTGAAATGTCCCGTGGTGAACTCGAAGCAATGGACGAATACAGCAAACAACTCGAAGAAGAAATCGTTAAAAAGGGCCAGGAACGTATTAATGTCGAAGAACAATATTCATCACTCCAAGAAGAAAACACCGGAATAACTAAAACCATCAAAAAAGTACAGACACAACTAAACGAAGTCAAAGAAGAGCATGCTGACAAGGAACACGAGTACCAACGAGAAATGGAGGTTCTCTTGGACAACTATCGACTGCTAATCAGAGAGCTACAACTCGCCAATGTGATGATTGATAATTACATTCCAAAAGAATATTTGGTATGTATATCATTTTAACCTTAAAAATTATTAACCTAATTTTTATTTTCTGTTTATGTAGAAAACCATCGAGAGTAAAATCTTGTGGAACACCGACACGACGGAGTTTCAAGTAAAAGGTGTTGCCTACACCGGAAACAACATGCGCAAACACATGAGCATGGCCGTTGATAAACCGGTAGCCGTCCAGCGGCCATTAAAGAACGTCTATCACAGCTACAATGCCGGTAAGAAGGTCGAGCGTCGTATTCGTACGTCCAGTGTTCCGCGTCCTAGCAACATGAGGCGCTCTGCTAGTAAATCCGCATGCAACTAAACATCAAAAACCAAGTAAGTAAAGTATACTATTATAATCCTAACCTCTCACTATTTAAAAAGATAAGATTGTGTTGATGTCACATTAAAACTATATAAAAAATATTAAAAATTAAAAAAAGTAGAATTTTCATTGATTTCTTTGATATCAAATCAGTTTAATCTATTCATAGTAATTAAGTTTAAATTTAAGAAAAATACGAGTTTACACTCAGCTTAAATCAGACACACACACAAACTACGGGTCATAGTCGGGGTTTTTGCGCAGAATAACAAAGCCTTCCATGAATGGCGTGAGGCTGAGGTATTCCTCCGTTGCTAATTCAGCACGCTCGCCATAAGCGAGCAGGACTGGAGTTGTATGTGTTTGGAAACCTGTGATCGTCTTAGGTTTACCGGCTTGTCCAACCACATCAACAGCCTAAACAAAAATTAAATTATATAAGTTAATATTATATTATTATTAAGTTTAATATGAATTAACTTACCAAACCAACGCGTACTGGCACCGGAAGCGGATTAAGATCCTCATCGAAAGTAACAAGCATTCTTGGTTGCATAGCTGCTGCTAAAGTATAGAGCAAATAATGACTCCTGCCCAAAATGATATTTTTCACATCAAGGAATCCAACTAAAGTCGCCATTAACCCAGCGACCGCAACAGGACTCAGCAGTTGTCTGTCACTATGATACGGACTCAATGAGAGTGTACCCTTTCCAAGATGGGTGAGACCCTGCGCGATTCTAACCATAAATAGATTATTCGGATCTTTAGCGTGGAACTGCGCAAGTTGACGCAACATGGCCGCCAATCGGGCGTTATTTGTGCCGGCTCCAACCAAACCCATAGCGAAAATAGCATTATGCGCCACTTCGGGGTCACTGTCATGCGAAAACTTGCTCAGGGTATCCAAGATGTTCAATTTTGGATTGGATACAGAGATTAATCCAAGAGCCAGTGGTACAGCACGTCTGATAACAGGCTCGCAGTATCTCAAAAGGTGTCCGAAAGTTCTGTAAGCCATCTCAGCGCCGATATCTTCTCCCATAGAGATTAGAGCTATACCAAGGACAGCTACAGCTTGACGCGATGATAAATCCTTATCCTTTTCTTCTTTTTCCTTTGCTTTATCCTTATTCTTATCACGTGACTCTTCCTTTTCGGCTTCGTAGTGCTCCGAACAGATGTGCAACAATTGTTGTACTTTGAGCACATTTCCAGTACCTGCATAAGCGCAGACCTCAACCATGGTAATAGCCATTGATTTAAATGGTTCTGGGATGACTTCCAGGGTAGCCACAACAGCTTCCACTTCTTCCTGTCTTCCCAAATAACAAAGTCCCAAACCTAAAGGTAAGAATCTTGCATAGGTGTCTTTAAGATCCGCTTCGGGACGTTCCAGTAAAGTTTGAATGATGGTTGAGGTGACATCCGGGTTTCCGGAACCCACCGCAATCATACCACAAGCAAGACCTGCCATTCCAATCACTTCCATGTTACTCTTAGCATCAGTGAACACAGGAGTAAGGAGACTTAGGACAGCCTCACGGTTGGATCCTACATAAGCTAGGCCCAAACCAACAATGGCGCCCAATCTCATGATATTAGTATTATGAAGGACATAATCTGAGAGTAGAGCCAATGCAGGGTCGCATTCATTGCGCACGCCACAGTTAACAATACCACAGGCCAATAACGCGCCGGATTTGATGTGGTCTTCAGATGAATAGAGGTATTTATCGATTGGTGTCAAACCTCCGTCAACATCCCACAAGAGGACCAGACCCAGCGAAGCAGTGGCGCTCAACATGCCGTGTTCTTTGTTTTTGAACAACCATTTATTACCGTCTTCCATTAGGAGTTTATCTTGGCCGAAAGCAGCGTTAACGAAACCATTAACAAATGAAGCAGCGAGGTTTTGACGTGCGGAATCAACTTGACCACTACCAAATTGCGGACGAGTGTTTTCCAAGTGCGATTTGTACACATCCTCAGGAGTTTTAGGTTCCATGATGTCCAGTTCACGAGCAAGGTTTAGGAAGTGATTGTTCAAATGGCAATTTGCCATTGTTTCAATCAAATCATCGTATTCCGGTGTAGTTTCCGGGATTTCGATGTAAATCTGCTGACGCCCAAGCATAAATGCAAGTTGTTTCTGGATAGTACTAAATTTAAAAATTAATTTTATTGTTTTTATATTAATGTATTTAAAATGTTTAAACTTACATGTCCGGGCATGATGTGAAGATCTCTTCAATAAGTTGATGATTATTAATCTGCATAGCCAACCGTAGCGCTTGCGGATATTGTTTGAACTTTCTGAACAAGTTCAAAGCTGTGGTCAGCAAAGTGGTGTTCTCCGGATCGGCCACATACGGCACGCAGCTGGTAAGATACAAGCAGACTCTGTTGTAAATGTTTTCATCAACGTATTGATCTAGGAGATCAAGGCGTTCGATTTCCATGAGGAGATCGCATGCCTCCGCCTCGGCGTTGTGCGCCATGTTGTACGGCACAATCTGGCGCGTGAGAAGGATGAGTTTCTCCTTGAGTGCCACCTCGTTTTCTTTTTCCTCGGTGTTATCGCTCCATTCCTGCGCGATTTCGCCGGCAAGATGGCGGACGTACTCGTGGCCCCATTCGCCGATGTTGTTCAGGTCGGAAGCCAAGCGGAATTTGAGGCAATCGCGTCCCTCGCCCATGGTCATCGCCAGAACGGAGATAATATCAGCGCAGGAGCGCTGTGCATCGTCCTGGGTGAGTTTTTCATGGATTGTTTTCATAGTAGCGTAGTGCGGACGCATGAATTTTAATGGTTTCGGGACTGAAGTCATCGAGGTGGTGGAGGCGCGGATCTGACTTGTGAGGGTTGTGAGTGCTGGCATATATTGTGTAGCATCATTTTCCTAGAGTTTAAAATTTAGTTATTTGTTTGTATTAAGTGGTAGTTTATTGATTAATACCTGAAGACGTTCAACGCATAAATTAAGCTCCTCTTGCAATAATTTATCCTCTTCAGACTGAAAACAAACTTTGTTTTAGTAGAGTTTTTGTCACATCATGACAGCATAACCTCAAAATTAAATATAAATCTCCAAAAAACGGATTTATGTAGTAGTAATTAATATAAAATATCTTATTAATGATAAATAATGATTGGGAAAATACATTTTACTCAATATTATATTCTGGAGATACTTACAAGATCAGATTTCTCCTCTTCCACTTTGTTGTCTTTCGTGGCCGCCGGTTTCTTATCGCCTTCAGTCATTTTGCTCATTTGTTCGGAGCTGCAACGACTAAAACACTGAAAAACCTCACGTGTGGTGAATATTAATAAGCGCGAATAGTTTTATTCAGTGAATAAATTCTAATTCGGCAACAATCGCGGGTGAGCTTCCTCTGCTTCACAAGATTTTTGCTGATTTCATGTTGGTTGTCATGTGTCAGCTGTCAAGGTCAACCAAGGATTTTCATAACCAAACAAACGTAAAAATCCCAGCGCAAAAGTAACTAAAAGTCACCAGATTACAAAACTGACAGCAAATTGAAAATGTGACTAGATTTTAGTAATTTTAAATAAGAGAAAAAGTTTAAAAGCAGAAAATAATATATTTTCATACGCATTCATATAAAGCTATCTAAAAATATAAATAAATATACAATTCCAACGTAGTGTTTTAGTATTAGTTGTAGGGAGAAGACTAGTTTAATTGCACATTACATGTTTCTAAAATTACTGGCAAGTTGCGTACATCCAAACAACTTTTCATTTCGGTTAATATTAGGAAGACTTAGTAATTGATCCAAATTGAAACATTTCACGCCTTAATCAACACACTGCAATTATTTCTGACCGCTAGAAATTGCAATAAATAACAATAAAATGCAATAAGTTGCATCGCGTAGACTGTGTATATAGACTTTGTTCAATAAATAATATTTTATGTGAGAAGCGCTAACACTAACAAAAGGTACGTACTGTAGGCTAATACTGTTCGTCACTATCTAGTTATCTTTCTAATACTTTCGCTTGGTTTGGAAGCACGCCGAGAATCACTACTTGTTTCTGTTTGCCACATCTGCGGTGGCACTTGCAATCATTCCGAGAACATTCAACGCTGATTACTTGAATCATTTCGTGGTATTTGGTATACATTATTTGAAATGACATCATTTCATGGTCAATTTGTGAATTTGCATCAACTTATCCAAGCCACCACAAGTGTCGCACTTTTTTTGGCAGATTATCATGACTCATCCAATTTTTTTCCTCTTACTCATATCATTTGTTGTATGTAAATAGCTTTGGCATTGTTTTGAGCTTGTTTTTTTACTTTAATCGTTCGTTTTCTTTCATCTTTCATCGTTCTACGAATTTTCATCATCAATATTCAAAATTTTTGTGCGTAAAGTAAAAATTTGCAAAGCTTTTCGTTACGTTACACAAAATTTAAACTCTTATCTTAATTATTACGCATAATTAATACTGTTAATAGTAATTGTAAGCTCATGGTGGCTGTGGTAATATGAGCACCACTGGTTTTGGTCTCGATACTATTTGTTTCGATGCTGTTTCCGCCGACCTCTTCGACTATAACGTTGAAGCCGTTTTTATCGTTTGGTGCGTTTGACGCGTGTATGCCTGGTGGCCTATCTCCGCTGCCTGCGCCATCCAAGATGTCCTCATCGTCGGTGTTCTGATCGTTTTGATCTTGTAGTTGTGGAGTTATTCCATTGCAGAGGTTCGTTGAGCAGTAACAATACTCGATGTTGTTCGCTTTCTTGCAGTCATTCATGCGCATACGTTCGCATTCCCTTCGTGATTCGACACCTGGATAATTATTGTGAGGTTAGTGAGGTTAGGTTAAACTTATTTGTGTTTTCGATTAGTTTTTATGTTATTACACAAAAACTATAAGAGATAGGTTGATTATTTTTTCATTAATCGATTCTGCATTAAATTCTACGTGTAATTGCGTAAAGTAGTTGAAGTAATTAATTTTATAGCATTAGTTATTTCACAATAAAAATCAATATAGTTTAATGATCATTAAAATGGTTTTTATTTAGCTTTTAATGAAGTAAATTGAATTGAATTCAATAAAAACTTGATGTAATTTGATACAGAATTTAATGCAGAATAATTTAGTGAAAGAATTATTACTCTAACGCAATGCATATTTAAACTATGCACTAATTATTCCCAGAAAACACATTTTCTCAAATGCTATTTTTAAATTCAAGTCAAAAACACCTTCCAATTATCATTTTATGACTTTCTATGACTAAATTAACGCAGAATGATGTAGTTTAAACAAATATAATTTCAGTTTGTGTGCAATAAATCACTAACAACTAGAAACTGGTTTTTCACACTTTTTGGCCGTTATTCTTGACAAAACTCAACAAAAACTCAACAAAAAAAACAAAGAAATAGATAATTTATTCCTAGCGTTACCTTCAAAATGTGTACTACATCCGAAATACGACTCCGGACATTGCTGCTCGTAGCGCGTAACATTGAGCAGAAAAAGCTCGCAGGTCTGATTGAAACCTTTCTCAATCGGCCCGCAGACGTAGCAGCGAATTGCGTCCGACAGGCAGACACTCATTCCTGCAATTAATTACTCCGTTATGTATAGCACTATAAATGTCTGCTGTGTGTGCTAATTGGGATCAATTACGCACGCAGTCTCGTTAGAGGCGTTAAAAGCATTTCGGGGATATTTGCAGATTAATTATACTGATTACCTAACAGCAGGACGCATGATAAGAGCAGGTTATGCCCGTAAGACACCGTCGACATGATTGCGCTGAATGTTGGAAAGTCGCGTCGCAATTTTCATTTATCGTTCGCGTGTTTTAATCGCCGTGTGTTAACGACGCGCACTGTTTACATTCATCGAGATTGACGTGCTGCAGACTGGGCACTGCAGCACACAGGCGGCGGAGACCAGATAGACGCGGCTCCTGCTGTTTTGCTCCCGCTCCTGATGCGATTGTGATGCAAGGCGTGCGGAGCCCTGCGGGAAAGCGTGTTTATGTGCGCCTGAATCTAGGCATCCCAATATACACATTAGCTTCACGAGTTGCAAACGGTATTAAATTAAAAACCGGAAATTTTGGAGGAAAAAAGGAAATTATATTAATTTATCAAAGAAATTAATGGTTTATGTTTATTTTTTGTGAAAATACAAAGAAAATAAAAATATTATGATTATTTTGGTATGAAAAACATAAATTTTTATTATTTCTTTGTTAAAAAAGCAATAAAAATGTTTTGCAACAATAAACATTCTTAGTTACAGCTGCAAGTAATATTATTGGTAATTTTACATTATATCATGTTCTGCAAACAATAACATGAAACTTATATCATATTTCAAAGTATTTATTACAAAATTAACATTTTAATGCTTTTACAGCAGCCATTTTGAATTCTAAGAGTTTTAGAAAACAAAAACCAGTATAATAATTTTTTGATTGGAACATATTTTGTTATTTATTGATTTAGATGGCGAGTCTCTGGGAGATAGACGTCTGGGAATTAAAAATTGGTCCCAGGCAAGCAGAAGTCAGCTGTTGCGCGTTGTAGCCCTGTTATGGCCCTGTTGCCCATCGAAATGACCTTCGGCCTGGCGCTCAGCTTCACCCCCACTTGGCGAATCGTCCCCCGCTCGCTCCCCTTCACACCTTTTATCATCACGATCGCCGCGTGCGCTCGCAGCCCGTGCACCGCACTCATCAGACGCATCGCATTTGTGCACGAAACGTGTTCGTAAACACCTCGCAGCCGTTAGAATTACCTGTTATCTTACCCTAAACAAGTGTCTCAGTGGTCAGTTCTGCTATTTTCAATCATATCTCACAGTGTTACTACACAAGGAATGCGTGGGCATCAACATTAAAACAATAACGATTCATGTTGATGTTTAATACACAGGTAAATATTGAATTGTTTTTGGTGTTAAATATTGGTGGTCATTATTTTTGTTTGCTTGCAGTGTGATTCGCTGATATCGATTGGCGGCCGAGATGCGTTTTAAAAGTGGAACGAGCGGGGAATACCTGCGTGCGGCAGGAATTTCAAGGACGCGCTGAAATGCACGAAGCGCCGGCGAAATCCGGGACGCGCATCGGCGTAGAAATGATTTGAAACGCGCCGGGGCGCGAGAGCGGAAAAATGCCGCCGCGCTGCGTTGTCCACGTTTTCGTCCAGCATCCCTTCGCGCTGCTCGTCACCATCGCACTGTTGAGCATTGTCAGCATCGTCATTCCTTTTCAGAATGGTACATTCCCGAGCTTTACTGATCCAACAATGGCAAGTATTCATTTTTATCGTATTAAAAAAAGAAAAAAAAAATTGGAAAAATTTTATGTTTTGTTTGGGTTTTTTGATGATTACTCAGAAACGCGACGTGGTAGAGTGATAATCCTTTCAAAAATATATTCTGCATTAAGTTCTTTATTTATTTTTGCTAATATTTTATAGAATTTTTGTTTTGTTGCCAAATTACAATATTACAATAGTTTTTTTACTACTTTTTTGTGTATAACTCAAAATATAAACTTGTTATCAACAAAATACTTATCAAAACGAATGTACAAATAGATAACAAACAGTTTATTGAAAGAATTATAGTTCTATCTTGTTTAGTTTTTGAGTTATCACTAAAAAACTGAATAAAAATCTATTTTTTTAAACATTTTTAGGGTTTTGAAACTCGGGGAACTCCAATTGCGGAGCGCGTAATCGCCTGGAAAAATTTCTACGAAGCCATCCAACCCTCCGGCGAATTAACAGGCAATCCTCATGAATACCTAACATTCATGAACCAAACAGCCTTGTTGATGGGCAACGAAAGCGTGCAATTGTACGCTGACATCTATCGAAAAACAGACGCCATCTTAAATCGTAAGCGTCGTCCAGGACGTAAACACGGGAAGAGAAAAAAAGTTTCTGCGCAAATTCACGGTGTAAGTGCTTGCAATTTTATTATTTTCGATGAAAATGATATTGTTATGTAATATAAGATGAATTTTTAGAAGGTGGTTACGAAAGCGGACAATAAAACAGACAAATCGCATGCGAAGTGGATCGAATTGAATAAATTTATCAGCAACATCTCCAACGACAAGTATATGCGCATGGAAAGGGAGAATTTTTTCTGTGGACCTCCAGGTAAATAAATATTACATACAAAATTGATGTTTTTTTATTAAAATATTTTGTATTTTTGTGTTTAGATGACAATTACGTTCAGTTCGTGTTAAAATCAACTGAAAATCAAAATATTTTCAATCTAAAATCACTTTTAAGTGTGTGTCAGATTGAAAAACAACTGTTGGGTGTTGAATTGTACACACGGCTTTGTTTGGACAGCGAAAAATTCTCAAATTGCTGTCGTCCTTGGTCTCTGCCTAACTACATTGCGTTATTAAACGGACGTTCCAATTGTTTGGATTTAACGGTTTGTAACCACAATATAACCAAATTTAACCTATAATTAATCATAAATGTGTTTGGTTATGTTTAGCCGGATGATGTGAACGGAACTCTTCACCTATTGAAAAAGTGCGCCACCTATTATCATCGTGACTTATTAGAATCAACGTGTTACGATGCAAGTGAATGCATGTCTGTCCCGATCGAATGTCGCCAGTACGACGCCGTACGCACAATTTTACACTTTTTAACAAACTCGGCGTTCACGTCCAAAACTGCGACAGACAACACGACTGAACTCATCGAGACAATGCTATTCCTACCTATGGCGAGGAGTATCGCCACCTTACCATTTTACACCGCCATTGCAGATATGCCCTTAACTTTTGAGGGCATCTCAGTGGTCGCAATGGAATTCGGTGCGAAAAATGAACTCTTTGATGAAATGCTCATTAAAGACATGCGGTTGATGATCCTTGGCGGAGTTTTTGTCATAATATGCATGTGGATCTACACCGGGTCGATTTTTCTTACTGTTATGACAGTGGTGGCCATCTTGTTCTCGCTCGCCATCTCGTACTTTCTTTACATCTACGTTTATGGCTTGGAGTTTTTTCCATTTATGAATCTGCTCGCTGTGGTTGTGATTATCGGTGAGTAGCGATTTTTTGTCAACTATGTTCAAGCGCAGCTAGTTTAGTTCACTCTGCACCTGATTCTAATGATTGTTTCGTGATTCTAATTTAATTGCACACCGTTTGCAGGTATTGGCGCTGACGATGCGTTCATTTTTTGCAAAATGTGGCACACCATGAAAGCAAATAGCGCTAACAATTCCACCCTCTCTCAGACAATGAATAGCACACTCTATCACGCTTTGATTTCCATGTTTGTCACCTCCATCACCACCGCTATCGCTTTTCTAGCTTCATATTTAAGTTCAATCACCGCGATACGATGTTTTGGGTAAGTAATTGTCTTTGTCTATGTGCTTCTCACCACACTGAAAAGCTAACAAAAACATTACCACTTTTCTCGATATTTTTACAAACTAAGCGATAAAATTTTTCTTGTAGAATATTTGCTGGCACAGCAATCATGATGAATTATTTATTGATAGTGTCATGGCTGCCGGCAAGTGTGATTGTCTGGGAGAAATACACCATACTCAAGTGTGGTTTTCTAAAATGTGAAGAACGATTTACATTTGTGACAAACGCGTTTTCTATAGAAGAAAACACAAAACGATGCCAAACTATTATAGTGGACATCATCATCCAATTCAAACATACCTTGGCTGTCATCTTCACTTTGATCGCAATACTTGCAGCTGTTGTGGTGTTCTACTACCCGAAGCTCGAAATTCAACGCACAAACGAATTGCAACTTTTTGAGACAAATCATCTTTTTGAACAATATGATCTTGTCTATAAGAATAACTTTGACTTTAAAGGATCGTCCAAAGTAAGATTACTTTTAAAATATTTAAAAAGTTTAAGTTTATGATTGTTTTATTTTTTTAGTTAAAGGACCCAACATATCTACGCTTTCCACTAAGATTCCTCTGGGGAATTCTACCAATCGATAATGGTAACTACCTAAACCCAAAATACAGCGGTACTTTGGTGTACGATGAAACATTTAACATCTCCACACCTGAAAGTCAAACCTGGTTGTTAAATTTCTGCGAAGATTTAAAAAAGCAGCCGTTTTACCAACCAACACCAGGCGCAATGCTTACAAATTGTTTCCTGGAGACTTTCATCGCCTGGATGAACCGTCCATGCATAGATCCCATCGACGATATCAACCGATATCCGTGTTGCAATGAAACATCTTTTCCATTCGACGCTGAAGTTTTCGACTTGTGCATAATCGACGCACAGAATGACCTCCATCAAACGCCACCGACATATTTAACACCGGTAACTGCTGGATTACGATTCTCAAAGACTGAAGACCCGAAAATTCTCGCGTTGGTCATTGAATACGACAGTAATTATACGTATCTTGCGCCCTATGATGAAGTTGAGCAGGCAGTGACAGAAATAGAGAGTTGGTTGATGGATCAATTGGTAACAGCACCGGAGGGAATGAAACACGCGATATTCGTGAGTGACTTAGAATTTTTTGATCTGCAACATGCTCTGCCACAAAATACAATACTGGCTGTATCGATATCCATGACATTGGCAGTGATTGTATTATTTTTTGCTACGTGGAATATTATGCACAGTATTCTGGCGATTTTTACCATCTCCGGAAGTATTGTTACTATCATGGCGGTGCTGGTTTTATTGGGTTGGAAGTTAAACATTCTAGAATCGGTTGCTATTTCTAGTACGATTGGTTTTGCGGTTGATTATTGTTTGCACTACGCTGTGAACTATAAAATGAGTCCTAATGTGGGGGAGAATCGCGAGAGCGCTACTAAAATGGCGCTTAGCCGCATGCTTGGCCCAACTTTAATGGGCGCGTTGACTTCTGGTGCTGCCGGCGCGTTTATGATTCCATCCGATGTATTGGCCTATAAACAAATTGGTCAATTTCTTGTCATTGTCACTTTTGTAAGCTGGTTTTTCGCTACGTTTCATCTCGGTGCGTTGTTAGCCATCTGCGGGCCAGAGAATGAACGTTTTGCGCAAACTGGCGGACGCTTGCGGAAAATGTGGCGTGAGAAGTTTAAAAAACATAAAACGGCACCTAGTCGCTCGAGTACAGACGCTAATGAATCAGAATCATTAGCGGTGCGTTTTGATAATATTCAGTGTAATAAAGAGTTGTCTGAGGATGAAAATAGACAACCTAACTCGCAAGAACGACGCAATCAGAGTAGCGTAGACGCGGCGCTTCTTAGTCAATCGCCATCGAACAGTGCAATTACTTTTATTACCACCGACGATAATCAATACTGATCGGGTTTAGCGCACCGACATAACTTTACACCCTCTTTGAAAGGAAATTTGACGATATTGTATGGATTTATTATACAATTGATACAATATTGAATATTCACACTGTGATATATACATGAAACAAATCAATCTTAATGCTAATGAGAACAATATGTGGAAGTAGCAACTTGTTTTTTCTGATCGTCAAAGATACCTACGTGCAGAAAACGTTTGTACACTTGACTTTAACGTCACACACGCACGATGTACGCGTATACAACGGCGAATTGTCTTCGAATCAACATTCCGTTGTGATGTGATTATTAGATATGATATGAAGCATATAATAATGTAATAATTGTGATAGATTAAATTATATAAAGAGAAACTATATAATATATTCTATAATAAATGTTATGAAAGTGTGATTCATATATCATTTCTAAGCACATTACACTGGAATCGCAATTTGGATTCATTAAAATGATTTTGTGATCACAGAGAGAAGTCACAAACCATAATAATTTAATGTAACCTTGCAGGATAGATGTACTTGCATCAGATTGTAAGTATTCAAATTCTTTTTTGTTTTCATGATTAAGTTTTGACATTTTCATATGTGGAAACCATGCTAATTGCATATTTTTGTTTGTTTTAGGATTCTTCATACCAAATTGAACATCGGAGAAGATCCACACTTGCCTCAAATTGTAAGTATTCTAATTTATTATTATTTTTACGCAATAGTTTTGTGATTATCATATTCAGAAGCCATAAAAGAGGCATTTTTGTATCTGCCTTATTCATTTTTGAAGTGTTTGACAGCAGTAAATAGCTGCATCACAGTTTTCTGCAACTTGGACCCGTAGTCCATGTATCCGAAACTAGATAGCGCCAGTGCAGTGCGATTGAGTAGCGACTGCCAATAGCTTTGGTTTCTCGTACCTAGAGGGCGCTACTGTATTACATTTTGAAATTTTTCGGAATTGGTTTGTACTTCAACGCCTAGATGGCGCTGTATATTGTTATTCCTTTTTGTATTTTTCACGCTGGGCTAATTTTGTGTTTTTTTGTTTTAGCGGGCGAACGCCTTGTCGTAGGACAATCGTTCTTTCACCAAATTGTAAGTATTAAAATTCTTTATAATTTTCATATATAACTTGTGGGTTTACTCCTTGGGAAACCTACAAAAATGCCTTTTTTGTGTTTTTCGGTCGGCTAATTTTATGGTTTTTGGTGTTTAGCGGGCGAACGCCATGTCGTAGGACAACCGTTCTTTCACCAAATTGTAAGTATTAAAATTCTTTATAATTTTCATATATAACTTGTGGGTTTTTCCCTCTGGAAACCTACAAAAATGCCCTTTTTGTGTTTTTCGGTCAGCCACTTTTGTGATTTTTAGTATTTAAATTTTTTGGGCGAAAAACAGAGTCGAACGTTTTTACTTAAAATTTTTTGGTTGAATTTTTTTGTTAAAATTTTTGTGTCGAATTTTTTTGTTAAAACTTTTTCCGTCGAATTTTTTTGTTAAATTTTTTTTCGGTCGAAAAACAGGATCGAGTTTTGTACTTACAAATTTTTCGGTCAAAGAACAGAGTCGAGTTTTTTGGCGATTATGTTTGGAACAAAAAGATCTATGAAGAACAAATGCATTCTTCTCTAAAATTGTAAATAGGGTCTAAACGGTTAATATTATCAAAAAAAGTTACCAAAATAATCGATGAAGAATTAAATTTTTAATTAAATTATCTATCAGGTTTCCAATTTAAAATTTAATCGAAATTAATAGTTCCATGCATAGTGCGAGTACAATTCTATTCATGTTCTGCACTACCACACTAACAGCGTCAGTGTTTACAAACAAACATGTTTTCTTATCTCGTGCAATTTTTGTGCGATCGCCACGCGGTTGACTTGTGTACCACGTTAGTCTCATTTTTGTCGTTAGGTGTTCTGCACGCACATTTTCTCCATTATTCTTGAGTTCCTTAATTTATCTTCGATTGTGCGCGATTGATGTGCGGGGTTCATACCATGCGGATTACATACTCAGAGGTAAAGCGTGAGTGATGTTCCGTCGGCCGTCGTATTCTTTTTGTATTATACGCGTATTTCATCGGTTCTACAATGTGCATCTTAAGGTCCATACAAATTATTGGATATACCAAAACGCAAACATTTATTTTGCAACAAGGTATGTTCTCGCATTTCTTCAGCCATTTGAAAATCAAATCCATTATTCACTTTACTTGTTTGCGTTTTCCAATTGCTTGACATGAATCAAAATAAAATTCTGATTTCTGCTTTAATTTTTAAATTTTGTTTTTGGATTTCGAAAGTAAATTAATTTCTGAATGCAGTAACACAATTATAGATTAAATTGTATAAAACTAATTGACATTGATATACCAATACATAAATAATAAAAGTATACAATACTACAATTATCTACCTGGTGTCCCCAACTAGATGTTTACGTCGGCTGACGATTCTCTTTCCTGCTTAGTCGGTCGTGCCCGGTAGTGTCGCGAGCACGTGTTTTGTTCGTGTGTCTATCTGCATAGTTATCAGTCGTGTCAGGGTGAGTTCGGAAAGAATTTTCTAGATGCAGAATTTAATTCTATATCTCCCTGTATCGAAAATTTTTCCGTAACGCGAATTATGTTGAAAGTTGTGTGTGTGCCCGTAGTACTCGTTGCTGTAGGAATTGTTATAATATTTATAACTATTTCCTGCAGATAAACAACGTTGGTGCCCAGAAGAAGTTTGTGAGTGCCCGATCCATGGAGTTTGCAATACCTATAGCGGAAGTGTTGGAGATGCGCGTACTTTAAGGCAAGTCTTTACTGCTACGGGAATTGATAGTCGTAAATTGTTTTCTTGCCTAAAAACTATGTATGTATTTTTAAAAGTCATTAATAAAACACTTATTACATTTATAATCTTATTCACATTTCTATTTGGTACCCTCTTTGTCGTTTGCAGTATTAAATAGTATGGCATATACGTGGCGCAGGTATAACGTAACTGTTGCTTGAATTGTGTTGTTGTTTTAAAACATGATAAAAGTAGAAACATAAATAGAAGAATCAAATAACAATGATAAAAACACTCGGTGGTCGAGTGGAGACGTGCACCTGCTGGCATGCTAGCAGACACGGATCGAATCCCAGGTATAGAAGGCATTTTTCTCAAATATAAAAATATCAGGTGTAATTTGGGTTGCATATATGAATTGCAACGAAATATAAGAGAAATTGAAATACAAGTGAAGGCAATAAGAGAAGTAAGAAAGTAAATGGAGAAACGAGAACAGGGAAAAAGGAGAATAAGAAGTAGGAGAGAAGATAGAAGGAAGAGAACAGAGTAGAGAAGAGAAGGAGATAGAAGAAAGAGAACAAGGGAGGATCAGACTTTTAAATTTTTTGGCACGTGTCGTTATAAGACAGTCTACAGTCCCACTGCTTCAATGCGTCCATTACTCCCGGCCCAACCTACAGCTACGATGTCTCTGCGCTTCATCCCCGAAATTATCAGGCATATCAACAATTTTTATGGTGGGGGATCACCCCCAGAGAGAGGGAACTCCTTATAAGGACAATCCTTATAAGGTCTTGTTCAAATATTTCTAAGTTTTAAGTCGCCTCAAGAGAGGTGACACTTAAAAATATTCTTACAAGTTCTGACCTGTAGCTGAAATGAAAGAAGGAACACACAAATCACACAGGATACCTTAACAATTTTTATAGTGGGGATCATCCCCTGAGAGAGGGAACTCTCTTAGAGACCTGTACCTGAAATGATAGAAGGGGTACACTCAAATGAAAGCAGCCAATAATCTTACTATTTCTTTATTAACAATAGAATACAAGTTTAGATTTTACCAGTCAACAAAATACATGTCGCCATATTAAAACAGGACTTACGACCTGCATAGCCGCGCACATGCCAGCAAGTACTACTTCATAAAGTATTGCCGGGATTAAATTAGTAAATAGCTGCCAATTTTCTAGGTGACTGAAAATGGAAACAAATGTACAGGGTGTTTCAGAAAGAAAATTCGAAGTACAAAGAAAAAAATACTGAAAACAACAGTTGAAGCAAAATTTTCACGGACACGAAGGAAAACGAATATACAGGGCGTACCAAAAAGAAAATCCCAAGTTCGAAACAAAGAACATTCAAAACTCATAACTAATTGTGATTTCCTACGTGCTGTTAAGAAAACTAATATACAGGGTGTTACAAACAGTAAACTTTCAAAACTAAAAAGATAATCAATATTCACATCATGACCCGGAACACGGGACGGGATATTGAAACAGGACTTACGACCTGCATAGCCGCGCACATATAAGCAAGTACCACGTCATAAAGTTCTACTGGCATTAAGAAATTAACGAATGACCGATTTCCTACGTAATTGCCAAAAGAAACAAATATACAAGGTGTTATAAAAATAAAAACAAATCAATTCGAACTTACTCTGATACCGCGTTCGCGTGTTAAACTAAAAAAACAACAATCCTAGGGCAACGAGTACTACGGCGCACACACACAACTTTCAATATAACTCGCGTTACGGAGTTACGCGGCGAGAAAATCGCAATAAATTTCGATACAGGGAGATATAGAATTAAATTCTGCATCTAGAAAAATCATTCCAAACTTACCCTGACACCACTGATAACTATGCAGATAGACTCACGAAGTAAAGTCAATAATAGATTTGACTTTCAAATGGCTGAAGAAATGCGAAAACATACCTTGATGCAAAATAAATTTTTTCGTTTTGGTATATCCAATAAGTTGTATGGACCTAAATGATGCACATTGTAGAACCGATGAAATACGCGTAAAATACAAAAAGAATACGACGGCCGACGGAACATCACTTTACCTCTGAGTATGTACATTATGTACAATCCGATTGGTATGAACCCGAATTCGATCCTGTTTTCGACTAAACAAATTTTAACAAAAAAATTCGACAGAAAAAGTTTTAACAAAAAAATTCAACCAAAAAGTTTTAAGTAAAAAAGTTTGACCCTGTATTTCGACCAAAAAAATTTAAACAAAAAATTTCGAATAACAGAATTTGAATATCAATAATTTGGTGAAAGAACGGTTGTGCTACGACAGGCCGTTCGCCCGCTAAACACCAAAATACTAAATAAATACTAAAAATCACAAAAGTGGCTGACCGAAAAACACAAAAAGGGCATTTTTGTAGGTTTCGCGAGGGTTAAACCCACAAGTTATATATGAAAATTATAAATAATTTTAATACCTACAATTTGGTGAAAAAACTGTTGTCTTACGACATTGCGTTCGCCCTCTAAATACTAAAAACCACAAAATTAGCCGACCGAAAAACACAAAAAGGGCATTTTTGTAGGTTTCCCGAGGGTCAAACTCACAAGTTATATATGAAAATTATAAAGAATTTTAATACCTACAATTTGGTGAAAGAACTGTTGTCCTACAACATGGCGTTCGCCCGCTAAACACCAAAAACCACTAAATTAGCCGACCGAAAAACACAAAAAGGACATTTTTGTAGGTTTCCCAAGAGTTAAACCCACAAGTTATATATGAAAATAATAAAGAATTTTCATACTTATAATTTGGTGAAAGAACGATTGTCCTACTACATGGCGTTCGCTCGCTAAACACCAAAAACCACAAAATTAGTCGACCAAAAAACACAAAAAGGGCATTTTTGTAGGTTTCCCGAGGGTCAAACTCACAAGTTATATATGAAAATTATAAAGAATTTTAATACCTACAATTTGGTGAAAAAACTGTTGTCTTACGACATTGCGTTCGCCCGCTAAATACTAAAAACCACAAAATTAGCCGACCGAAAAACACAAAAAGGGCATTTTTGTAGGTTTCCCGAAAGTCAAACTCACAAGTTATATATGAAAATTATAAAGAATTTTAATACCTACAATTTGGTGAAAAAACTGTTGTCTTACGACATTGCGTTCGCCCGCTAAATACTAAAAACCACAAAATTAGCCGACCGAAAAACACAAAAAGGGCATTTTTGTAGGTTTCCCGAGGGTCAAACTCACAAGTTATATATGAAAATTATAAAGAATTTTAATACCTACAATTTGGTGAAAAAACTGTTGTCTTACGACATTGCGTTCGCCCGCTAAATACTAAAAACCACAAAATTAGCCGACCGAAAAACACAAAAAGGGCATTTTTGTAGGTTTCCCGAAAGTCAAACTCACAAGTTATACATGAAAATTATAAAGAATTTTAATACCTACAATTTGGTAAAAAAAACTGTTGTCTTACGACATTGCGTTCGCCCGCTAAATACTAAAAACCACAAAATTAGCCGACCGAAAAACACAAAAAGGGCATTTTTGTAGGTTTCCCGAAAGTCAAACTCACAAGTTATACATGAAAATTACAAAGAATTTTAATACCTACAATTTGGTGAAAAAACTGTTGTCTTACGACATTGCGTTCGCCCGCTAAATACTAAAAACCACAAAATTAGCCGACCGAAAAACACAAAAAGGGCATTTTTGTAGGTTTCCCGAGGGTCAAACTCACAAGTTATATATGAAAATTATAAAGAATTCAAATACCTACAATTGGGTGAAAAAACTGTTGTCTTACGACATTGCGTTCGCCCTCTAAATACTAAAAACCACAAAATTAGCCGACCGAAAAACACAAAAAGGGCATTTTTGTATTTACAGTATTACAGTATTATAATTGTGACCCTACACTTTTTAAAATAGAAATAAATAATTGTATGAATATTTTCGTTAACTTAATAACAATAAAAATGAAATTTTATTTATTATACTTTTTACAAACTTTCTGTGCAGAGAATCGCCATGGTCAGATAAAAGTTACTTACTCAAGCACGAATATGTTTTCGGTTGATCACACAACCGACAATAAAATCGCAGCATTGTAATTTGAAATATAAACATCAAACGCACAATTAATCAAAACACAAAACACTTCAGATGCATATTACAACTAAGTCGACTGATAACCGAATATAATTCAAACTTATAAAATAGAAATCCGATAAAACGATACGCATTGCGCGAAATACGTCTGGATACGCCAGAGACCGGCACGAAACTGCCTGCAATCCATCTATAGCGCTTACCGAAACTGCACAAGCAATGATGCAACAGTTCACAATAAGAATCTGTACCTGCTGCATGAACCCGGCAGGTAAAAGCAATAGATGCGCAAAGCCGGAGCGTCGATACCACGCGACCTTGTGCACGAATTGCAATAGGCACGATACTTGCGATCTAAATTAAACTAGAATATGCTGCATGCGGCGTGCAAAGATTGCAACGACTGTATAATTGCAACTTTCTCTATAAGATAGGCTAGTTAAAACGGAAATCTAAGGGATGAATTTTTAATTCTTAAGAAAAAATTGCCAAGGGGGGGTTGCTTGATACTTTTTTTCGATGATTTTCAATAATTAATATCTCTTAAACTAAAAGCGATAGCAACCAACGAATTGTTGATTATGAAAGATTGGAAAATTCTCTAACAGATAAAAATATAAAATAATTATATTTCCGACAGTACAAGGTCGAAAAACACGACTAAAAGTGCTAAAAAGTGACATTTATCAATTTTTGCCCATTTTATTCAATCGCGAATATCTCGTAAACTAAAAGAGATAAATAGGATCTGATCGCAGCGTCTAAATCTACGGACTATTCTCTATCAGATTCTATACACGGTGGCTAAGGAAAATGAAATTTTCCAATAGTTCCCGAGATATGACCAAATTTCCATCGCAAAACATTGAAAATGTTCGAAATATTCAAATCTTTGAAGGTGTTTATTTGGGTAGTTCAGGTTTCTGGTCACAAAAGGGGGGTTGAAGGAAACTAAATTTTAAATGACAACAACGACCAAATTTCCATTGCGAAACACTGAAACTGTGCGAAATATTGCAAAATAATAGTTTAACTATTATTATATCTTGAAATAATATTTCTGCGGTGCGCCGTTTGCTAGTTACATTTATTTTAAGGGACCAAATAAAGCAATGAATCTAATGGCAAATGAAGAAACGTGGATGTCTCAAATATTTACTATTATGAAAGGAATACGTTGGACTTACCAGTTATTTTTCGGTCATCAACGATAAATGCTGTAACAAAAGAACACGAGTTATATAACTTTGCTTGACACTGCGATATCATCAAGTATAGTCGGGACAAATGCCAATGTTAAATCATACTTACAAGGTGACTTGCTTGTCCTGCGTAGTTTTTGCGGTTTATGGATATCCGGACGTAGGTGAAACACCAAACAGTTTTGTTTCAATTAAATGTCGTTGATTTATAGTCGAATAAAACCCGAATTATTTTCATGAAACTTAGAGACTTGAGAAAAATACGTTCAAGGTAGCCGACCACTCCGGAACTCATACAGTGGATATGAGATATCTGCAAAGCGTGCAGAGTACACACGAAACCCGACAACGGCGGATAACAAGATGAGACTGCCAGAATGCATCGCACTTAACACAAGTTTAACGTAGCACTTTAGTTCACACGGCACGCAGGTATGCGAATGTAAACAAACAAGCAACTGATAACAACCCGATTGGCTGCGAAAACCCGCGTGATCTCACACGGGCACGCGTTTCTCCAGCTAAGGCGAGTCGCACTCACTACCACACGGAAACAACTGGCAACGACAAACGCGCCTCGGATTTAATGCAAATGTGGACATGCCAGCGACATCTTGACTTACATTATAAAATTATGTTTATGCATGACGTACGCCTCGCATATCATCAAACCAACTAATAACATTCACGCAAAATTCAAACATTCATTTTTAATAAAATCTTTAGGAAAATAACGAGAACTGGACCATTTTCCTATAATAATTAAAATTTTTGTCTCATAACCGAAAAATCTTAAATCTAATTAAAGGATCAATTTGGATCAGGTATCGTAACGATTGCAAACTAAGTCCAATTAAGATGTTAATTAACGCACTTAATCCATGTTGAAGGTTTTTTATGATTACATTTTCGGAATCTTCTTTGTATATGACCAATGTCACAATATTTTGAAATACAAAACTATGCAGCGCAAGGGTTCCGACGGCACGCGAATTCACTGACTAACATTTGAAGCAATGTTTAACGCTCCCATTACAATCAACTAATTATTCATTGATGCAAATAAACAATGTTTTTGAGCAGTAAATTTAAAGTAAATTTAAGATTAATCATAAAAAATGTGAGTAATAAATTTCCAATCAAGCAAATTTCCAGATCAAGTTTACTTGAGCGGTTTCGGTTTAAAATGCACATTTTATTATAACACAGCGCATGATTTCCGAGGGCACGCAAAATTCATAGATGCAAACAACAAAAACAAGTGATATGAAAAAAAAACACGATCTGCTACGCCAAACCACGCGCACTATCAACAAACAACCAGTTTCAGCGTACTTCGACAAGTCCGCTTCGAATTTAATGCAAATTGTACATTCTAGCGACATCTAGGATCGTACTATGTACTACGTACCATTCGTGCGCACAAGGCCAAGGACACGAATGCCAAACTCACACACTCACATTTCCGGAATAAAATGTGTATTGCAAGCACGAAGTATAGATATAAGGAGTCCGAACGTCATGTTAAATTAATGGTCACGATCTAGGGGACCAAACATTCGCCAATAGAGCGCGCCACTATGCGTTAGTGTACGCGTTTAAATACTTACATTACTATGGACACCGCCAATATTTCACAAGATACATGAAATTATGACATATTTTTAAATCTTTGGGCTATTAGTTATAAATTAATTGTTTATAACACATATTTTTCAAAGATATTACTCACCTTTGATGCTTTGAATAAAACTACTTTTTCTACCTTCTCACTAGTCTTTCGGCTACTAAAACATCCTGGAATAGCACAACCCCATTATTTCCCATTTTTTTAACACTACTAATTTTCAATAAATAAATTAGTTCAAAAAAATAATACTATCACGTTCCAATTCAAATTAATGTATACATACATATAAAAGTTAACAATATGGATAACGCATTCGACAAAGTTAAAAAATATGTATTTTTAAATTTAATTGAATTCAATTAAACATTCACAAACCAGCACGTGTTTACGTGTAATAATAATCACGAAGTATCTAAACACAGGAACGTCATGTAAACAAATTGTCTCAATGTTGCTATGAACACGAACCAACGTACATCGATTCACTAGTGATTCAAGCGCAGCCAGTGGCAGAAAAGAGAACTATTAGCAAGCCTATACCGTTCGAACTCCTTATATCTATACTTCGTGATTGCAAGATATAAAACTGGCAGTTCGTTTTATTTACTAAATAAATACTGATTTTTATTTATGTTACTAAGCTAATCACCTAATTTATGTATTGCAAGATATATAATTATAAAGAACTACAATTTGATATTTTAAACAAATTATTAACTATTAAATGATAACATTAAATTATATTACTATTTTAGAATAATTATCTATGCATGAGATCAAAAATTAAAAACAAAATTACCGCGACTTAATAAGTGCGAACTGCGACAGATAATTTAATTGTTTAAATGTAGAATGTAAACAGTTTCACGGAAAAACGAAAATATCGTTGAAGAAGCACTGAGAAATTCTTACGTCTGAGAAGTTTTAATGATGAATTGGTTTGCCATAGTCCAGAATAAAGTACACAACAATTGCACGCAAAAATCGGATTCGACGGCCGACGGATAACACTACTCGCGCTCAGCTTACGACAATTTATCGTGATTTATGAATATTTCACAGGCGAAATCTCATACACAAAACACCACACGCATGTGACTACTACACATCACTGTTTGATGATAGAATGAAGCGCGGTTACGCGAAAATTCATGAAAACCGCGTCGACTTGTGAGAAATAACCAACCGACATCACACGGCGGACGAAACAGACTCAGCTAGAGTTGAGATAAGAATAAAAATTGCTCAAAAGTGAACAGCAGCGACATCCTACGACATTTTTTAAAAACACAGTCAAATGTACATTAAATACAGGATGATAAATCCTTATTATATGTTTCACTGAAAAAACGCGCTCGTTTTTATAGCACGTTGAAACAAAAACTAAACGATTGTTTCGGTTTGTCATATACAGACTACTAGATTATCTCACGCAGAATTAAAAAACAAAATCACATAACCATGTAGTAGGCCTTGGTTTAGTAACCATAGCAACCAATCTAGATATCATGACATGGCTTATTTAAATATTCAATAGTCGTTTGCATAGTGTTGTACAGTTCACATTGTATTTTATCCAGAATATTCCAAGAAAGTAAGTGAATATAATCTTCATTTATAAACTTAATATTGTGCAGTTATTTACGGAATTACGCTTTACTAAAAGTCGTCGCCATGATAATAATTAAGGGAAAAAATAGAATATTATTATTATTATTCGACAGGTTTTCCTGTACCTACTGAAACGATTCTCGAATAAAACCGAGTATGAACCAAACCATTCGTCAACCACGTCCGAAAATGACCCGTGGTTCTCGCCCGGGTACAGCTAATTCCAATCATGACCAACAACAAATAAACAACAATTCTAAGATGACTCACCCCAACCAGCAACTCCCACAAGTGGTATCCACAATTCCAGTGATGGACAACGTCGTTATGCTTGACAACTCTGTTCTAATGCAACCAAATCAACCGCAATACATAAACCTAGAACGTTCTGTTGTTAGACCAGTTTCTGCTGCCCGCAATCCTCAAAAGAACGTTAAAATCCTGCAAGATATTGCAATTCGCCCTTCAAACTCTGCCGGGACATCACAATCCCAACAATCACAAGAAGTAGTTCCGGTTAACAGAAGACCTCAATCAATGCAATTAACAATGAATACCAATACAAACCCAATGTATGTAGCCACACAACCAATCCCAAAACCTGTCCGTAGAATGCCGGCGGAAATGCTGCCACCGGGAGGAAAGTTTGTTTATTTCAAGAATGTTGGCGGTCCTCCTCCTGGTACTTCCACATCACAGGTTTCCATTTTGCATGATACACAACAACACAGACCACCATCAGCTTCACCATCTGTTGGAAGTGCAGTTTCAGTTGTTCCAGTGGTCCAACCCGGTAATGTGGTGATGAAACCAATGAGAGATTATCCCGAGTATAAAATGACCATTCACGGGTTTACTAATGCACACAAGAACATTATGTTTCGCATGAACCATTTTATTGGCAGCCTGTTTCACCCCCTCATTGAATCCAATGTATATATCATGACTTTATCTGTGAACTATGGTCAATTGGTGTGTTTTCAAATTGAACGCAAAATACTAGGTGATTTTGTATGCAGACTCATTCCTAGAATGTTGGAAACGTCAACTCTACCCACAGTTGTAGAATTGAAGGATGCTCCGTCGAACTGGAGTGATGGTATGAGGTTGAACGTTGTTATAGGTCAATCCAACTATGAATTAGTCGCGAAAAACATGGCGAGGTCATTTCAAAGTCGTAAGACTGCCCTGCATGAGTATGAACAACTACCGGATTATTTAAACGCACAGTTTACGATTAGGAGGAATTTTATGTCGATTAAATTCACTACTGGGAAACAACATGCAAAGTCTAAGTTCCTGGAGTTGATTAGGAGGATTACAGCCGCTGCGAAGAAAGGTATGGAGACTGTACCGAGTAAGGTTGATCATGATACTCAAACTGATGGAGGTGGAATGGTTCCGTACGGATTGTGTGGTCAACATGAACAGCAACTGGATATGATCAACACGTCGCAGACGAAGCAAAAGTATCGCGATATGATTCAACACGAACAAGTTAAGACTTTGGAGATGAAATATAAGTATCAGCAGGAGGCTTTGGCGAATATTGACATGCAAGTTCAGGAGTTGATGGAGCAATATCGCAGGCGTGAGTTTCGCAAGAATAAACTAGATAGCATGTTTTCTTATGTGCGATTGAAGGAGGCTCAGACAGATACGATGTGGGGTCTTGTGGGTTATGACAGGTTTATAACTCTACCATTGGGTCACCGAACTACTATGAAGTTCCTGGATGCGGTTAAAGCTATCATTGAGTTTTCAGCCAAGCATTTTAGAATTATTCGGGGTAATATTCAGAAACTAGAGGAAGAAATCAGAAAGGATCAAGAGAATAAGTCGAAAAAGAGGAGTTATATTAGGAGTAGTCATAGAGAGAGTGGGAGTAAGAAGAAAGAAGAAAAAGCTGAGAAGAGGATATTGAGGGATTGCAATCGCGACGATAAGAGTGAGAAGATTAAAAGCCGGGAGAAGCCATCACCACCGTCATTGTCGTCGTCTATTGGAGGCTGTTATAGCAGTACCATTCGGAAGCCGGTTGATATCCCGAGTATGGCGGATTATTTCAGTGGATTCAAGCAGATATTGAGTGAGTTTAAACTAGTGCAAGGGGAGATGAATATGGCGGCTAATATTGGGGATGACATGGGCATGGGTCTCTATTGATCATGGTGAAGTATGGTCCCGAATTATTTTATGTGCATTTTACACACGGACAAACCCGGCTTTAAGAATACCCTATAATGGGGCTTGACTTTCTGATATTAATGAAGAAAACTATGAATTTCTAAAAAGTATTAATCAACAAAATTCGTAAACAGTTAATCATTGCGAACATCATTTAGATAATATATGTCAATAATATGTTTTGCTAGTATAATGATGTAAAATGACTAGTGCTCTTTCTTTTCTTTCTTTTTGCGTTTCTTTTGCTTTCTGTCTGTGTGTAAAACTTCTTGTTTTTTGGCAATGCACTGCCGGCAATACCAGTTTTCTGTTTCGTCGGGTGGAACTTGAATTCCCACGCACACCCTGTAGAAAGTGGCGTAAAATTTGCGTTAATTGCGATAATTTACACACAAAAGTTATATTTTTACGTACCAATGATACCATGCATCGCAATCATCGCATCCGATCATTGGGCTGCCGTCATCCTGCCGGCCACATGCTGGACAAATCCACACCTCGTTACCGTCGGAATCCTAATCAAGAAAATACATAATATAATCGCGATTCTCATGCGTCGTCTGTTTGCCAAACCTGCAACTAGTTTACTAATGCTATTTGCGAAATGAATGCGCGTGATGCATGTTATGTGAGTTTCTATAGACAAACATACCAACAAACCAACCAACACCATGACCAAAACAAAACCAAGAGAAAATAAATGTGAAACGTGAAATTAGAGATTAGAGCAAAACATTGTTAGCACCACCCATCACCCTAATAAGAGACAGAAAGCCATTCTTCGATTTAACGCAAAATTTCAAAAATATAATAATTGGGAACACCTGAGTTGGTTCCGTTGGTGATTTTGCGTTAGCGAATGCGGCCAAAAAGAGAGGAGAGTAAGCAAAACTTACCTTGGCGGGTACCTGTCGTGGTTTATTCGATTTTAAAGGTTTCTGTTTGATCGGATGGATGCGTGGCCGGCCGGGGCCAGGCGGACGCCCCGGCCCCGTGGGCCTACCTGGACCCGGCGGCCGACCAGGCCCCGGATTTGGCCTTTGCGCGGGCGGCGGCGAAGCTTTCTCCTCCTTAACCTCCTCCTCTGTTAATACACTCAACATGGTTTAGAGACTATGAACAAAATGGCCGCAAGCGTGTTGTTGGTGTTTGAGCTGTATATTGCTTTTCATTTTTTTGATTTTTAATCGAGCTGCAGCGTTTTTCAACCCCTAGTCAAGTTTTAGTAAGTACGTCATGCTCTCATTTGGGGGGCAGGTAGAGAAAATAAAAACCGGCAATCAAAACACGTCACCATGCACATGTACACTGTGAGTTTTGTGGGAGCAGTACATTAATGCGATGACTTTCAGGTAGAGATTAATCAAATGCCCAATATGATCGAGTGATGCGAACGAGAATGATGATGACGAGTTAGGTTAAGGTTACAGCGATCAACCCCCCCCGGCTAGCGCTGCGCTTACTTACGATATATCTCGACGTATCAACCGTCGACTCCGGCTTAGTAGGGTCTTTAGGTCGAAATTTGCTAGGGTTTGGTTTAAACATTGACTTCTTCACGTGAAGATGAAATGATTCGGGCGTTATATTATCTTTGGAACAAAAATAAATATAAATCACCTAAATTATTGCCGTTTTTCGATTTTTCGGCGAGAGAGAGAGAGCGCTCGGTAACGGTATCTAGTCTAGGAAATCGTAGCTGTTGGGATTTATAACCTAAAACTTACTTGGTTGCACAATCGGTGATAACTTGGGCTTGGGTTGGCCGGTAACCAGAGCTGATATCTTCGCCAATTCCGGGACATTTCTCGTTTTACTTCAACGATCGGACTGTCATCCTCTCGTTTAATAATAGGTTTTATATTGCTGAAAATATTAAAAATTAACCTCAAATTCATGCTAATAAAAAATCAACTTACAGTTTTCTATCGGGTGTATCAGGTCGTGGTGACATCTCTCCGCCGATCTTCAATGTTAACTTTAAGTTGACATTCTCACGTTCTTTCTCTTTACGCTTTTCTTTTTCTCCTTTTTGATTTTATCCTTCTTCTCCTCTTTAAGCTTTTTCTTCTCGCCTTTGTTCTTCAACTTATCTTTCTTATTCTTCTTTTTGATTTTATCCTTTTTATCTTTTTTCTTCTTAGTGATTTCTAACCGTGGAGAACTAGCAGGACTCGATGCTTCTTGAGACGTACTATCCGCGACAACTTTCGCTTTTATCTCGGGACTTGGTTGTTTTGGAGGTAGTGGTGGCATTAGTGGGAAACCAGGCGGTCTATTCATAAACGGCGGCATGCCGGGTGGATTTAAACCGAAGAATGGGTTCATAGGATTCATGGGTATCAAAGGGTTAATTAATTGTGGGGGACAAGACAAACCAACGCCTGGGAAAGCCGGAAAACTGGGGAATTGCGGGAAATTTGGTGGTACCATTGAAGGTATATGCGCTTCTGGTGTTTTCGGCCGTTCCAGTTCCATTTCCGGTGGACTCACTGCCTTGACCACTTTTTTAACCTTAGTTTTATCTTTTCGCTTACGTTTTTCTTTAACAACAGCAGGTGGAGTTGCATGAACCATCATCTCCGGTGTTTTTGGTGTTGATGGTGTCCCAGGCGGTGAATCATCATCGAAATACAACTTATCAACCTTATCTACCACAGGCGCTGCATTTACAAGCTCTATTGTCACATCACTAGGAATATTCAACTTTGTTTCAATGGGTTCATCAATGATCAAATCCGGAGAATGTCCAGGCGTGCGAATTTCAGACTTTGGAGGTTTAACTTCTTTCTCCGCCTTAACATTCGATATCTTCTTGAAAATATTCGCTTTTTTCTTATCTGGTTCATTAGATAATTTATCCACCTTTGAAATCGGTGTGATTGTTGTATTGAGCTTTTCAGTCTTCATGCGTGCAGCGGCCAGCGCTTTATTGACCTTTGGAGGTGTGTTAAGTTTATCAACCTGATGCTTTTTAGGCGTGCCGGGTTTCTTAACTTTCGGTTCCCGTGGTGGTTTCTTAACCTTTTCAGCTTTTTTAACAATCGGGACTTCATCAAGCGGGGATGGTGGTACACCGTTTTTAAATAGTTCTTTACTTGATTTTTTCTTTTCGGGTTTCTCTGCTTTTTTATTCGCTTTGATTTTTGGAGGTGGAATAACAGGTGGAGCATCAAACGCGCTTGAAGGTGGATAATTCGGAGCATCCAATGTGTCAATAACTGTTGGAGCTTTGGATGTTGTCGGAGGTGGAGTTGCTGTTCTTAATGATGGTGGTTCTGGCGCCGGGGTAGGTGTGCGCGCTTCCGGGAGTTTGCCTTCTCGTGCCGGCGAGATATAACCGGAAGTCGTCATCATGACACTACTCATTTCTCTTGTGGGTCTTCCCTCTTCTTCAATCAGTCTTTAAATATTTTTTGTATTAAAAGAATACTAACTATTTAATCATAAACTAGACACTTACCTTGGTTTTTTAAATGTTTCACCTGGTGAAACATCAGCAGGTCTCTTGAATACAGTTGTTGTGGATTCATCAGTGACAACTTCTTCTACTTCTTCATTTTTTACAGGAGTTTGAACTTCAGGTTCTGTGACTAACAAAAACTAAATAAGTTTGTAGAAAATTTTAAACAACTTTTAGTGTACCTTCAGGAGCTTCTATCATAGGCGGTAAATGTTCATGTATATGAACTTGCCTTGTTATCACTTCTTTACTGCCAGGTTTCAAAAAGTTCAAATTATTCTCCTTTGCAACTGGATATTTTGGCACAGGTGTCGGTGGAGGAGCAAAGTTAACATAGGTGACATACTCTTCCAAGTCAGCTAAGCTCACGTGAAAATCTCGAAACGCCAACCCAAGATGATCCAAAGATGGATTAACGCATCCAACTATAACCAAAAAATAATGTAAACATTGTAAACAAAAGAATATTTAATAGTATTTGTGGTTCATACATTCATTTGCATAGTCATGCGTTGACCGAGCAATCTGCATCACATATTGAACCATGATATCGGTGAGGATCTCCAGCGGGGTTGAATTTATGGAATTCCAGCCGATCGTTTGGAGCATTTTCGCCACCGCCACTTTCATCATATTTCTGGAGTACACTTCAGCCATTTCGCTGTTTTTACATGCACCAGCACTTATTACACTTTATTTACCACACTAGTGATACTCGATTATTTCATCATTGTTAATAGTAAATAGTTATTAGTAAAAGCATGATTTATGCGGGAATAAACTACGAGGGACGCGCCAACAGTGGTTTAACGCCCGCCATTTTTAGTGAACGTGCAAATAGAGACTGATGTGTGTAGTAGTAAGTGTGCAGGCACAACATGTTTTGTTTTGGAGGGGAATTTCAAGTCAACGTAGTATTTGAAGGTCACGAAAGAGAGCGCAATTCGTGTTAAAACAACCATAACAATATAATAAATAACAGATTATATTGTGAATCATTTGAATAACTTATGAAACGTTAAACGTGAAGATTGTGTGCACAATAATGAAGAAACAACGAGAAAAATAAGTGAGTTTGATTCAATTTTGACGGCAACTGCGCCTCTAGCGGCCGTTTCTGCAAACATTTATTATATAAACTGGGTGTTGCAGTAACAAATACTGACTCAAAAATCACATTTTCATTAAAAAAACAAGTTTTTAAGCAAGAAATGTCCATAAAATCTAACAAAAATGCCAATTACTTTTCAGATTCTTATAACAAAAGATCAGGAAGACAATTTTTGGTAAATTATCCAAGAAAACACCACATTAATTAATAAATGTTTATATAAAAGTAACATTAAATCACAATAGTGTCCTTAAACAATATACAAATACATTACACTATCAATATGTATACGCATTTACCTTGTAATTAAATAAATATAGGCATAGGCATAGCGGTCGCACTTAACTTATCATACAATATTACAGACAGTACAAAACTCTTCACAAGTCATTCAAGTCTCATTACATTTAGGAAGTAGGAAAAGGATGATTGGGGATAAAATCCCCAAAGTAAAAAAGTATAATACTGTACAGTGTACACAAACTAAGCAAAGACATTGATAATCGATGCTTAAAGCATCAATTACCACTTGCAGCTCATCACAATCGTCACTATCACCAGGAACAAGCAGGAAAACACGTTGGCGCGCATCCCCAGAGCTGAATTGATATTGTTGTCGCTGTAATCCGGTATTGTAGGAACTAAAATGATTAAAATTACGTTAAAATTGATTAAAACAATAAATTATGTTGTTTATAGGTTATGTAACTTACATGGAACACCAATATTCCACGGTTTCGTAGGCATTTGTGTTCGGGGTGTTGTTGGCCTCTTTGTGGTCGGCACACGTTCAATACAAGAATAAAGACCTTTCTTAACCAACTTCATTCCATACTGCAAAGGATCTATCCTCCGTTGACAGTGTTCACCTGCCTCGGTAATGTAGATATCTTCTTTCGACGAAACAATGGAACCAACAAAACATTCATACGTCCCAGCTGCTACATCATGTCTTTGAGTATACGTATACAATAAATCTCGTTCTCTCCAATGTCCTAAACATCTATATTCTCGTTCTTCATAGATTTCATTCGTGGCACAATCAGAGACTTGATAATACATCAATTCTGGTGCTCGACAATCCGACCATAACTTCGCGCATAAATCATTAGTATCCGGAATCATCCCGGTGTATTCCCCTGAAATGGGACAAGCTAATTCAACACCGGGAACTACTCTTCCTTGGGTAATCCATGCGTCGTCTTGGAAGTTAGTATCGGCGCATAGTTCAAAGATGTCGTTGTGATCGCTGAAGTTGGCGCCCAGTTGAAACTCGAGAATGTTGTTGCTGCGCTTCTGGATGCGCATGCAATTAAACTGTTCCTCACCGCTGCGCGAAAAAATCAGGAAGTTAAAGCAACAAGTTCTATTCGCGTAATCAGAGCGTGCCAAACTAACTTCTAACAAAACTCACCATTGCGTTCGGCTAAGTACCGAGTACTTATCGTTGGATTCCATCATGGCGACGCATTTGATCGTGTACGTCTTGAATGTCGAGTGATCTTTATAGGTTATAGTATTATCCTCCACGCGAATATGCTCCCAAGTGCCACGCATCCAATCAGGAAAACTAAAGAATAAATATAGGTTAGGTTGATTTATGTCTATAGGTTATGTAGTCAAATATAATTGTCTATAATTAGATTTTCTGCCTGATCGGCAGGCATTGCCAATACCAATCAAATAAAAATTTACGACAGGTTAGCTTTTGAGGTTAGGTGTTATTACCTGCACGAACTGTAGGAGACCTCCGGTGGCCAAACGCGCTCATCGCTCGGTCGTAGAACGTAGTTCTCGTAACCGTGCGTGGCATTATGCAGATCGCCCGTGCACGTGGAGTCGCGGCTAATTGCAATGTTGATGAGCCCCGTCGAAGGATCCGGCTTGTACAGCTGCGCAGAGCAAAACCACACATGAAATTTATGCAAACCGGCTAGCATGCAATTAAACTTACGGCGCATCGATACTGAGGTTTGCCCATCGACTGACGGCTATCTGCAAGGGCCAAGTACCGTTGACCACCGACACCTTCCCAATGTCCAAGGCAATCAAACTTTAGATCTATACATTAACCAATAAAAAACATTAAATAAATCAAATTTTATTTTTTCATATTTTGGCTTACCTAGGCTACCAAACGAACACTGACGATATTTAAATGTCAAACTGGATCCAGACGGACATGAATCCACTGTTGATTCATGTCCACAATCCTTTTTAGATCCATGATCATTCGATCGATAAGTAAAAGAATATCTACCATCTAATGGACAATATTCTCTTGATATGTGTTTACCTTCAGCACCTCTCATTTCTAAATTAAACAAAAAACAATCATAACCTCACATAACTCCCAAATAACCTCAAAATAAATAAAAACTTACTAAATAAAATTAATTCTGTCGTAGATCTAGTCCTCAATGACTCTTCAGTCGGACAATTAGCTTCAGCTAACTCTTCATTAGTATAGCACTTTGAAATCACCTCTTTGCTCGATGATAACACTTGGAGGACATTTTTTGATTGCAGTTTGAGATGCAGACATCGTATACAACTACTGCCTGGTAAACTGTAAGCATAAACAAGGTTAGATATGTAAGATATGTATTTATGCATTTTAAGGTTATGTTATTGCATGCTTACTCGACAACCAAGATGAAATTATTCCCAATGCGGCGGTGGCAGTTGCCCCAGATGGGGATACCCGTCGCGGTGATGTTTACAGTGGCGTAGTGAACGGTGTTCTTGCTGAATGTGTTCTGCATCGCAAACTCACCCTGATAGTCCTGGGGGAAGTAGCAAGCTGCTTCTGTTGATATATCTGGAAAAGTAATATTTGTTTAGTCAATATTGGAGGAAATGGGTGAAAATTTTTACTTTTTTGGGTTTTACTCAAAAAGTATTAAAGCTATTGAGATGGGGTAAAAATTAATTGATTCTGTTTTAAATTATCTTTCTATAGAGATGTTGTATGAAAATCTAGGACATTAACTTTATGAGTTATAAGCGTTTTAGTTAATAATAACTTTTTAACTCTATTTTTAACCCCACTTTTTTGCTTCCGAATCAAAAACTATTAAAGATATCGTATTAGAACAAAAATTGTTTGATTCTGCAATAAATTACCTTTCTATTGATACATTTTACGACATTCTAAGTCTATAACTTTATGAGTTACAAGCCTTTTACTCAGTATCAACCTTCAACCCCTATTTCACCCTCTTAAAATTAAATTTTTGTAACAAAAACAAACCTATGTTATTCTCCATACTTAAAACTATATCCCCCCCAAAATTTATAAAAATTACTTAAATATTTCTAGCGTGAAAGCGGAACAAACAAACAAATAACCTCACATTCACATTATAACACTAATTACAACACATATTTTCAAAGTGACCATTATTTTAACATTTTTTAATACTGAATATTTACAATGAAATAAAAAATGTCAACGTGCTGGAATTTCTGCACGATATTCGTCTTCCACTTGGGAGTGGACGTGACGAAACGCATGACTGCTCTAGCATGGAATCTTCCCGGCCGCGACCGACGACAATGACCATAAAGCACACACATTAGCGACATCACAAGACATCCCGACGTCCGCCATTAGATTACCACTCCTAGGCATTTTATTCCGGGCTAATAAATTCATTAGACGCGCGCACAACATTGCCTACACGCTCACTAATTACAAATTACAACAATTGCTCTCTTCCATTCTCTACTGTCCACTCACCCAACATCAGTACTTCAACAATAATTTGTTTGCTTTGATTGCGCTCGACACAATTGAGGTTATAATAATGATTCAATAATCATCCGAATTCGTGGCTCTCAAATTCCGATTTTGTTATGATTACACCAAACGGTGCTCAACCGCGCGTTGAGAAAAATCTGAAGTCAAGCATGATATTACATGAAATTCCAACGTGCCAACCGTTTCCGATTTCGTTCTTCGCATGAACCTGACTTAAGGTGACTCGGATTCCCAACCTGCGACGACTTTACTTAGTAAAGTATATACTTATACCCTTACACAAACACTCTGTGTTAATGTCGGTTGGTTGAGTTGGTAGTTATGTACGTCGTTTTTTTTTGTTATTATTTCAATCTCATTTTTTCTCGCGGGTGCGTAATGACTTGTGTGCATTCGAGGCACAACGCGATGTGCCGATGCAATAAAAACGAGTTCCATTAAGGCCGTTCGCCGTGTGCTGCTTCGCGTTTTTTTCCTCAACCTTTTCTCTCTCGTTTATTTTAACGACAACGCTGCTTGTTCTCATCAGGCGAGGGAATAAGCCCGGCACGCACTCGCTCAACATGGGACGACGTGCGGCCATCGATTAATTAAACAATAAAGAATAAAAAATGAGTATTTTCTAATTCACACATATTAAAATGAATACATGTAAAATATTCGCGGATTTTATGTAGGTTATGTTTAATTTTGGCAATGACAATGAGTAGAATATTGAGGTTATGTTGATTGGTGAATCCGCATACTGCGAAAATTAAAATTAAACTTTTTATTTCTTATTTTTTTATTCTTGGGAGTAATATACGTCAATTGCAAATTGCCTACGTTAAAACTTAATTTACTAACCTCAAATTTATTAGTTACAGTCACACAAATAAGTATAACCTCAATTTTAGGCTTCTTAATGGTGAAATTACATGAAATTTTGGTTGTTTTAGTTTTTGTGATCGCTGTTGTCATTTTATGAGTAAAATCAAAGGTTATAGTGTTTAATAAAGCATATAAAACAATTTCCTGTCATTTCTAACCTCAAACCAGGTCATTATTTGGTATTAAAGGTATAGTTTTACTTTTGTCATAAGTTTATCTTGATTCAGAAAGATTTCTGTAGTTATTTTACTCATATTCTCCCCTATAACATTTTTACAGTGTTCTGTAATCTTTAAAATTATGATTTTACAGTTTCCTGTAATATATAACCTCAAGCAACTTATTATAAAACAAAAAATAACTATTAAACACATTTAATAAGCATATACATGTAAAATATTCTAGGTTATGTCTACTCTTGTTAATAACCATGCCTAAAATATTGAGGTTATGTTGATTGACATATCCGCACATTTCGTAAATTTAAATTAAACTTTTTCTTTTTCTTTTTCTTATTTTTCGATTTGTGAGTGTAATATCCGTGTGCTACAAATTGCCTACGTTAAAACTTAATTAACTAACCTCAAATATAATACTCACACTCACCCAACAAAAACAAATGAATTTCTTCCTTTCCAACAAAACGAACACAACCAATCTAATTAAATGTTTTACTTTGTGACGTCTAGCAACAGAAATAGACACAGGACATAAACAAAAATCAATACCACATGAACAAGAACAACAACAGATTCATCTACTTAGGTGAACCGCGCACACGAAATATAATTGATAGAGCCATTCCCATTCCCATCCTGTGATAAAACAGTGACAGTGACAGTAAATTCCTTTTTAATTAAACCTCTAACCTGTAGAAAATACCACGCTCCACTAAACGATTAATTTTCTTTCCTTTTTCGTTTCGCTTTGGTTTTATTTTTTACGTTACATACTCATACAACTAACTCTTGGATGAACAGGTAGATTCGTTCAGAGTCGTTCTACAAGTCGTAAAATCAACATGCTGTATGCTAGAATATGCAAATGGAGGACGACGAGCGACAAACAACAACCTCAAGCATATTATGCATAAACCAGCGAAGATGTGGTGAAGATGTAACGTGTAACGACGAGAATATTAAATTGAATTGCGATGAGCAGCATGTCTTCTTCATGTTGGCGAATCTTGTGCGCCGCGCATGGAATGCTCGCGATTCGACGTAATTGAGAGTTAAGTGCGTACTTTGTGCGTTATTTGCGTTTGCAAGCATTTTAATTGACATTCCATGCATGGCAGATGCAACATTTCAATGTTTCTAATGAGAAAATGATGGGGAATGTACAATTTGCTCCGCCTACAATGTGGGAGGAGCAAATAATAAGAATTTAGTTATTTTTCTTTGGTGTAAAGAAAAATTATTGAGTTTTGCAAAAGTTTTAGGATTTTTTTGAGTTTTGGTGAATTTTGGTGTTTTGGAAAGAATTTTTGACAGAAATTGTCAGATTTGCTCCGCCTACAAAATGGGAGGAGCTTAAAATGCTTAATTTTAGTAATTTTGTGGTTTTTATTAGTTTTAACCTAAAATTATTGATTTTTTTCAAACATTTTAGGATTATTATTGATTTTGGTTAAATTTTAATTAGAAAAAATATCTTTTATAAAATTTTTCAAATTTGCTCCGCCCACAAAACGAGAAAAGTTGAAAAAATTGTAATTTCTTCATTTTTTGTCGTTTTTATTTTGTACTTAACCTAAAACATTGATTTTTACATAAATCCTAAGCATAAAAATGATATATTGACCACGCCTACTAAACAGGAAACTATATTTTAGTCCTTACGACTCCTTTCCGGTCAAATTTTGTATTTTTACAAAATAAAAATTTGAAAAATATAAAAAATTGTAATTTTTTACATTTTTCTACCTATTTATTCAACATATAATCAAATTTTGCTCCGCCCACTAAATGGGAGGAGTCAATTGGTGATAGAATCTGCTTACTTCTACTAATATGTAAATTTTCATTTTTATTTTGCTTATAAATCGTAATTTTAAATCTGCTCACAGAGTTTCACATCGCATTCCAGATTTGTCACGCCTGCAACGTTACCAAATGAGTATTTAACGCTTTCCGTTGTTTGAAGCTGTTTGCTCGACTCCGGGCTGGGCTCGTTTGGCTTTTTAATCATCCGAACAGCGTAAATAAATAAAAACGCCGGTATAATGCATAATGTGAGGCAGTGAAACTGTGAATTGAGTTTTGTCGACGCTACAAGCTGCCCAGCTACCGAGCTACCGAGCAGCGCGTTCTCGTGAACTGCTGACTTGTAGATTTTTCGAATACATAGCAGAAAAAAATCGTACGTGCCGCCAAGATACGAGTAGGAACACAATGCGATGCGCTCGCTGGGAGCCGGTGGAGAAGGCGCACGGGCGCGCGTTCATGCATACTTGATTTTTCGGGGCGGCTTTTCTCTAAACTGAAATATCGTCGTTGTCTTTTTAGGTGTGCATCATTCCAGACACATACGTACGAGTATTTTGATGTCAGCGGGGACATTCAGTTATGTTAAACTGTTTCATCGTTAAGAGAACATTTTGAGCATTCAATAAACATAACCTCAATTTTTAGCTCTTTAGAAAGAGGAATTTACTTGAAATTTTAGTTCTTTTAGTTTTTGTAGTAAGTTGTAGTCAGTTTACAGTCAAATCACATATTATCGTGTCTAATAAAGCATATAAAACAGTTTCCTGTAATTTCTAACCTCAATCCAAGTTATTATTTGGCATTAAAGCTAAAGTTTTACTTTTGTCGCAAGTTTATTTAGATTCAGAAAGATTTCTGTAGCTATTTTACACAGATTCTATCCACTAACATTTTTACAGTTTTCTGTAATCACAAAATTCAAATTTTACAGTTTCCTGTAATATATAACCTCAGTTTTAGTCATCAATTGAAAGTTAACGAACATTTTAACCTCAATAAAGTACAAAATCACATTTTTCTTATTTTTAACCTCAAAGCATCTTAAATAATAAACTTTTATATAATGTTAATTATTCTTCTTTAAATTTCCTTTCTAACAAAACAATTCCCAACATCCTGTGACTTTGACCTCTCGAGTTATCACACCGCAAAATCACCAACTTCTAAATTTGAAAAAGATTCTCGACGATTAAATTATTT